TGACACAAGTTGCAGATGTGGATAAAATTTGTAATGGCACAAAAATTTATTTTATGCGTGAAATACAAAGTAATAGTACATACTATTTCGATACTCCTTTCGGAAAGTACGTGCTTGTGTTTACGTCCAAGCGAAGCGAGGGTGGAAAGATATACAAAACGAGAATCTACTTTAACGCTCGGTTTTCGCCAAGCATGCAGGAAAGACATACTTTGCGCACGGAGTGTCGAAATCGTACTTTCCACACGTTGTATCGGAAAATACGGCACGACACATGTTCGGGAAAGAGTTTCTCGTCTCATGTGGCGTTTACGTCCGAGCGAAGCGAAACGAAAATCTACTTTCACGCACTTGTATCGTAATCTATTTCTGCACACTCAAGTTAAAATACCAAATTTTTAAGTTCGAAATTTTATACGTTATTCACTTTATCACGCTAGAACAAATGTTATAACGTAAGGGATATTGTAATTTTGGTGTGTTAAGCAAATTATTGTCTTTTGCGTATTGTTTTTTTAAAATACAATAAAATAAAACTTCAAATAAATTTTAAATTGCAAATTCATGTGTTATTTCATAGTAGTTTATTATATTGCAAATATAACATTAAAATTAACTATCTGGAAATAAAAATGCTAAAAATATATATTGTGAATCTTTGCAGAAATCACATGAATTATCGAAAAGCCACTCTACATCATTAAAGAAAATAACCTTCAAAGCAGCCTTTTTTTTTACTATGTACCTGTATTATGAACACAAGGTTATTTTTAATTTCATCTACGACAATCAAAACACTATTGTATCTATTTTTCTTTTTTAGGAACTCAAGGGATATGAAAATGGCAGTATTAGCTATGTTGATCATTTTTTAAACTCAATGAGCTTCTTTTTTATGACGCTGTTACTAAAGGTTTTATGTATTTGCAATGTGTTTATTCCAAAAGTAAATTTGCGACCTACTTATGTGAACCTAATCCAATTCAGTTTAATTTCAAGCTTTATATTTATTAAATTTCTAACAAAAAGTTATTTAATATAAATAAATTCATGACTGGTATCCTAATGTATTTTAAGCAAGAATATTTTCCTTTAACTATTTAACTTTAATATTATTCTGCGATTTTAGAAATTGAAAATGAAAAAAATATTTTACCAAACTGACCGTATCCGACAATTATGAAAAAGATTCCCTTTATAAAAATCAATGTGGATCCTAAATTACCTGTTTTAGCTGATGATAGAAGACGTAAGTCGTATACTATTATCAAATACGTTGATCGTGTTTGACATAAAAAAAAATGTTTAAATATCTTACTGTAGGTGCCAGGCAGCAAGTAAAAAGGAAATTACCAATGGGTAATTTTCCTGAAGGATAAATTGCCAGGAAAGTAAAAGTGTTTTGGCGCCTGCAAAGAAAAAAAGAAAATATTTTCTCTGCTCAAATTCTCGCGGCAGACATACGTACTCGAGAAGACACTCTTCAGTATCATTACAGTATGGTTGCCAAGTCGCACCTCCTATCAAGTGTGCTTATTGCAGCCATCTTTCAACATAGCCAAGTAATATAAATAGTAACTGTCGGACTAATTATCAACGAGAAAGTTCGCGTATATTGATTTGAGCGAAACTATCGACGTATACGGGAAAAATAAATTTCTGAAATTTTGTTGTGTAAATATATTAAATCATTCGATTTCCCTATAAATATATTTTCGCATCTGTATTGAATTTCTAATTGATTCACTCGTGATCTCCAGTAGATAACCTACTAATAACCATACTAATAACCTACTAATCTCAAGTTATATGACTGTGGATATTAAAAATATCTCGTAAATTAGTACTATTTATAAAACTTTAAATTAGTCTGTCGTTGAAAATAATTCTGTAAGCATACTAATTAAAAATATTTTATTAATGTACATTTGAACAACTGCTGATTAAAATCTTATGACATTTACAATTAGATATTAATTTTTAGTCCCTAAACTAATTTGTAGTTTTTTAAGAAACTTATTGGAATTGAAAAAGAGCATTCTTTTCTGTTAGATACACAATACGAATATTCCGAATAGGCTGGATTTACAGTCAAATGAAAATAAAATAAAATAATTAAGTATTCAAAGGGATACATTTGTAATTCCTTTCTTATCTGACATTTTTGTATGTAAAGGATATTGCGCTCAATCGGTGTAGGTAAAGAAACGATAAAACACTTTTTAACGTTTCGTTAATTAATTTGTTAACCTCTTTAAAAATTAAATTTCAATAACGGCAAAATGTGATGTTAGTCGGAGCAAACCATTGTCATTCAAAGAGATACTTGTAATAATCCTACGGTATTAAAGCAATTACAACTGTCATTAATTAGTTATCATAATTTAAATAATTTAATTAATTAATGTATCATAATTTAAATAAACGTATTATGTATGTAAGTGATTAAATGAGAAATTAAATATCAACTTATTTATTAGCATTGTATCTTTTTTAATAAATTGTAATACAAACTGTCAGAAGTCAACTGAACAAAATCCAAGTAAACGGTATAAAGTTGGTTATAAATAATTGAATATAATGATAAATTCGACTATAATATATAATAAAATGTACTCAAATAATCTCAATACAATTGAATTTGTACAAGTAGGCATAAAATAAAATGTACTTTTCATCAACTTTAAAATGTAGTCCATTATTTGGCTTTACTCTATCATCGATCCGTTTTAATGCAATCTGTTACCTAAATTATTTAATGAGTGTGAATGGTTATCGAATTTAATACTAAAATACTGTAATCATTATTTCAGATTATGGCGGAAACTATACAAACTATCCCAGCTGTTATTACCATCACCTTATTGTTAGAAAGCAGTTACCTATGCAAAATAGAGAAAATTTTATAGAGAATTATAAAACTATCGGATCGTTTGATAAAAATTCAGGTATGCCTCATGCCTAAAGTAGCCTTACCACCAGTGACTAATTTTTGCTAACTTTATAATTTTTTCATTTGCAGAAAATATTAGAAATTTTTCAGAACAAATTATGATCTCCATAGAAGAAAGACAGAGGTACAAATGTCCAAATGAAGGTTGCACGAAGTCATTTACATACGAACGAGATCTCAAGTACCATCTATCGGCAGTGTGCAATAAAGAAGCTCACTTAAAATGTGCCTACTGCAACTATATCACGTATTATCGATCTAATGTTCTGAAACATTGTCGCGGTCGTCATTTGAATCAAAAACCAAAGTATATCAATTTGAACTTGACAAAATAAATTAATATATCTGTGGTATAAGATTTTATACAAAGCTGTACTGCTTATTGATACTCAGTTATCATAATTTATTAAACAATTTTAATTATTAATTATATGTACAAAATGTTCATAACATCACCGTATTTTTAACGTATTTAATGTGTGTCTTGACTAACAGATCTAAAAATTTTTTTACAAATAAATGTCATCTTATAAAATGTACGCATTTTTAATTATGTCTTATTTTTTTCATTAATATACTATTAGTTGAACAGATACACAAAGTAAATGCAATAGCTTAAATTAAAAAAATGTTTTATGGTCAAGCTAATTATAACAATTGTAATTTCAGATTATGACAATTCAAAAATCACCCCATTAAAATTTCCGCGGCTCGTACCAAAAAGAAAAATTCCAATGGTCAATACTCTGAATGAAGCAGAAATTATCGAACCAGGTACATAAAAAAGAAATATAACATTCATCAAAGTATTTTCTGTTAACATCAGAATTCCAAAGCTCGTAATTTTTAGATTACAGACCACAATATTCTCCGAGCGGAATAATATTCAATTGTCCAACCTTTGGCTGCGGGCATACATTTAAGAATAAACGCCACGTCAGACGTCACTTGAAATACGCCTGTGCAGTTGACCCACACATTCAGTGTGGTTATTGTGACTATATCACTTCTTATCCGGACAATGTAATTCAACATTGTCGCAAATATCACAAAGGCATGAAAGAAAAGTATATCGATTTGTATGAGTCGAGACAACAACAATGAAAATAGTTTAATTAATTTTCTTTATTTCATAACTTTGTATCATTATAAATTAATATTTTAGGATATAACTGTTAGAGGTTGTTTTTAGAAATATATATATATATATATTTCGTACCCTAGTCAAATTTTAATAAATAATATTGATATAAACTAGAATAAATCCTCAATGTATCGATTAATCTGTATACAATTGAACAAATATATAAGTAATATATTTAAAAGTTCTGTCTTCTCTATTTTTAAAATCTCACACAAGAATAATATAACGATTTCGCTAATTCACCAAGGTCCGCTTGCAGAAAAATACCTTAAACATTATTTATGTTTTTACAATTTTTCTTCCAATTCTTTTATTTGTCTCTAATTGCCAATAAAATTCATGATTCATAACACTTTTACAAAAGCTACACAAGATTGTTTTCCTTCGAGCACATGTCAATAATTATCGATAAAGGTGCCTAAAACCTCTAATATATACACGGGAAACCCGTGTGTTTGAATTTATTAAACGTTTAATATGACGTCACCCATAAGAAATACATTGTCCTCAATTTTAAACACTTCTAAACGTTTAAATTCAGCGACAATGTATTTCTTATGGGTGACGTCACAATTACACACTTAAAACGTTTAAATTTAAACACATAGGATTTTAAAGTTTTGCCGTGATAGTAGTGTTATAATTAACTATCATATCCTTTTCTTTTTCAGGTGCTCAGTCTTATGCATCTACTCATCGTCGTTCTCGGACAAACAACTATTCTATTCTTCTCTCGGAAATCCGAGATGTTTCTTGCAATCTACTGTCTAAACAACCGCTCAAGTTTCAATGTCCCAAATGCCCAAAACGCTTTTCTGCCAAAAGTAGTGTTGTTCAGCACATGAAGTACGATTGCAATCGATTGCCAAGATTTTCCTGCCCCTATTGCAATCAAAATAGCAAATGGCCATTCGCTCTATACAAGCATATCAGAAAAGTACATCATGGCTGCCGTGTTTACGTTAATGATACGAGCAATGAGCATTAAAAAATATTATTTTAATTTTGCGAGCATATTATTTGGGGTAGGAGGGGGGTTATGATACTATAGTTTACTTTTTATTTTATTAGATTGGAAATTAATCTGTTAGTTTTTTTTCAAGAAATAAATTTTAGTAACATAATTTATGTGCGATCGGTATCTACTCACCTTTTTGATTTATTACAAAGTAAAAAATGATTATTTCCTTTCAAATAAAATATACTCTCGAATCGTAGAATTATTTATTCTTGTTTTGACTGGCAATTTGTTTTATGTAAATGTGCTCAATAAAGATAGATTTTATGGAAAGAGCTTTTAATTTTCTATATCTCTTGTTTACATACCTGTGTATGTGTATTTTCTAGAATAACTGTACCGTAACATAAGTTGAAATTTTCCGTAAGCCAATCTCTAAATATTTTATATTTTGTTTGTTGTAGTATCATTGGATAAGACTACCGAAACTCTGCAGTTAATTAAAGAACACGATGCGATAACAATCTTCCAGAATCCTGTCCGATTGGTACGCCCACGAGGTCGACCCAAGAAAAGCCAACCATCAGCCTACACCATACCAAAATCTAATTTTCTAGAGATTAAAAGAATTAGTCCATTGGATAAAGCTACATCGGATCACAAAAAGAATTTGAAGAGAAAGAAGAGGATGCCAACTCTGAGAATGATAAAAGTAGAAGGCAACGTTTGGAGCTCTTCTGTTGTGCCAAAACATGACCTAGCAACGGAAAATTTAGAGAATACTATCGAAAAATTGAAGCGTAGAGTTAGCGATAGTGCTTTCAATGAATTGGCAGAACACTTGGAAAAGCGAAAACGAGGAAGACCAAGGAAGGTTCCAAAATCTTGTGCTGAAGAAGATGATAATAATGAATTGAAAGTTCCATTGGGTGAAGATTCGAAGAATCCAGGAAGAAGATCCAGAAGATCTCAAAATCCTTTTATTACTTACGAAGAGTTTCAAGAGGATTTGGAAGATATCAGAAATCAACCAGATATAAAGCCAAAGAGTCAAACAACTGAAAATGGTATAAAAAAAGGACGGGGAAGGCCACCAAAATATCCTAAGTCGCAAGTTATGTTAGGAAATGATATCAAGAAAAAGCGTGGAAGACCAAGAAAGAAAACAAGTATTGGCGACGATCAAAGTCTGCCTGATTCTAAACCAGAGAGTACAACACCGTTACTATCTTTATTTGAGTCTTTACAACTTTCTATTGAGGATAACGTGGAATTAGTGCAACCGAAATCTGAGATCTCATCTAAGTGTAAGCTAGAATATGCGTCATCGATGTGTAAAAATGAGAACTATAAAACAAAAATGCCGTCAACTTCTTTCCTTGAGCAAAAGCACGTACCAGCTGAATCTTCGAATACTTCGACTAAAAAATCCGCATTACCAACGTGTGTCAAGGATATTATTCCTAATGAAAATGAGACTATGAAAAATACTACAATGACAGAGCAACTTAATCAACCCAGAGTTAGATTAATTAGGATGGATTTGAATCCATGTACCATGAAAAAGTCAAGCAATGTCATATCAAGTCTGGCTAAAATTATGAAAAGAAAACGGGGTAGACCACGTTTAAATCCCATTATTAACCTTGAAAGCATCAAAATACCGAAGAAACATGAACAACCGATAAAAATAGATAAGGAGACTGTTGAGGTATTAGTTGAATCCAATAATATTGCGATTCGAAATGAGAATAGTACTGATTCAGTCAATCCACCAGAAATTCTGAAGGCTCAATTAGGTAATATTTCTGATGTAGTTCATACTTCTAATGAAGCCAATACTTCTCATATGGTCAATATACCCGAGGCTTTGGATACACCATTGGACAACACTTCTGATACTCTCAGTGCATCTGAGGCCTTTATCATTCAGGAAGACCATAACACTGATTCCATTAATCAATCTGAAGCGATCAAAGCTGACAATTGTCAAGGTTGTTTACCGTAAATCAGTAATAGTAATAGTCACGTAATAACTGCTTCCTTGATTATAAATTTATCCGTATTAATGTAAGGTCATAATAAAAATTAAAAATATCATGCACTAAGTGCAATTTGACCATTGACGTTAGGTATTCAATACCGAATAATGTGAAACCGAAAATACACATATATTAATATATATATATGTGTGTATATATATATATATATATATATATATATATATATATATATATATACACATATATATATACATATATATATATTAATATATATATATATATATATATATGAAATACATAATATTATTCGTACAACTGATTGGATAATGGACGTCAATAAATGTTCACGTTGTCGAGATGTCGTATATTAGTAGTTTTAAGTGTTATATTGTTCAGTTGCACTAATGTGAAATTGATTTTTTTCTTTGTTTTACTCAAATAATCTTCCTCCTCAATAGACTTTATAATTCCTAAAAAGAAGCTTTGAATTTAATGTTCATAATTACAGTAATGCCACTGAGCATGGTAAACTACATTTTTACAAGTGTGGATTATGTTCTATAATGCTTATTAACCAATGAGTACAATAACAATTATTTAGCATATAAAAATATTAATGTATGGATAATCCACATGACGTGTAAGCAAATGTAATAGCGAAGTTTGAAGATAGTATTTGATGAAATTGATGACACACTAAGTAACAAAATGTATTCAAATTTCATCAAATTAACACATGTTTGAATTGGAAAAAATACTTTTGGTTGAAATGATGCGTGACTTAAATTATTATAATATATAACGTATTTTAACTATTGAAACGAAACTAAAGATATCTGATTAAACTTCGGAGTTGATATCTTTATTACCTTTTTTATGGACAGTTTCTAATAAAGTTTTAGTATAAGATAAAGATACAGTTTGATCCAATACAAATATAACGATCTAATTAATGCTTAAGAAATTACTCTCAAATTTGACGATATGGCAATTATGATGTCTTTGAAACTGGTTATATGTAAAAGCTTAACTACAGTTTGATGTATATTTAAGATCTAATATAGATTTTAAACGGCTCAACTTTTTAGTAACCGGAAAGATATTATTTGTTATACTTTTAATTTTTAAAATGCGTCATACGTTTGAGATCCATGTATGGAATCCTCAATATATTAAGATTCACTTTATGTAACTATAAGAATGTCGTATATAATAAACGTAAAATCGTAAAAGATAAACAAAGAAAAGTTGTCTATGATATTCGCAGTTTTTGCATTCATGAGTAATAATTACATTTTCAGTAACAATTCAATCGAAATATTTAATTCGAATAACATAAAACGCTAGATTTAGACATAAATGTTTTAAATATTGATTTGAGTAGAAAATGTGATTAAACATTTTTATATATTTATAATTTATAAGGTTTTATATGATTAATGTTTCTTTACATTTAAAGCTAAATTAAAAATAATATAAAATAGTGTAAATTTTTATTGAATTATGATATTTAAAAGTTTACGACCTTTATAAAACGTCGAGTGTTAACGAATAGATTAACGAAATATCAAGAAATTTTTATGATTTTCATTAGTCAAACTGCGGAAAATTATGAAAAAAATCAGCTTTGTATTTCATAAATAATAAATAAAGAATTGGTATACCTCGAATTTTGTAGTAATCTTTTATCCAATCGTCATCATTTCATTTTTATAATCATACTAACATTTTTTAATTTTATTCGACTTGGTATTTTAATAATTAAATTAACTATAAATATTTTCAGATTTGACGGAAAGGCAACCTCGAACTAAGAACCAAGACCCATCTTTGTACAAATTTCAATGTGTGTATTGTGGACGACGATGCAAGTGGGTCAGTTCCATGTACGAACACCTGACGAATTTTCATCCTAATCAGCCAGGTCTTTTTAAAAGTATTGTGTAGTAAATTTCGAATAAAAATTGCTGATGTAAATAATAATTTGACTTATCTATGCACATAGATATTTATTATGTCATGGTTCTATTTTTGTAGCTGCTTCTTTAATAAATCTATAAGAAAAAATAAACTTTTCCGTACTACAAGAAATCTTTTTTCTCATATTCTAAAAGATATTTTTACACATAGTGCAAATCATCTTGGTACAGAGAAAATAAAATGATTTTCTTGTCACAATTTGATTTGCCAAGTGTATATTATATACACACACCGCAAGCATGGAATCCAAAGTAGGTAGTTCAAAAACCCTATCAAACTCAATCGATCCCACTAACCACGAACATTTTCCCATTTCAGAACAAAGTTGGAATTCACCACATCTAAAATTTTTCATATGCGACACCTGCAGTGCTGGCTTTCGTCGACTTGCCGATATGTACAGACACAAATGTGGTCCTCCGCCAAGATATGGTTGTCCTTATTGCCGTAAACGTGATAACAGCTCGTCTAACATTAATCGACATGTCAAACGTTGGCATCCTCATATGCCAGTCAAATTCAGCAAGATCTTTTGAAAATAGATAGATTTTTCGTGATTTTATTTCAATAAAATAACAAGCTATATTTTCTTACATATAAGTTTGTAAGTAGCATCTTCTGTTTTTCCAATTATAATTTTTTACACTTGATTTCAACTATCAACAGTATTCATTGCCTCTGTGCACAAAACATGTTCCTATAATATTATTATCCGAAGAAGACAAACTATTAAGCTATAAGCAGCACTGAACTAATCAAAAATGCATGAGACGAGAATGTAAAAAAGCTATCCAAATGTCGAATGATCTGTATAAAAAGCCAAAATAACAATGAAACGTAATTCTTCGTAAACATTAACGAAAGTACATTTATTAATAAGCCTTGCATCCCTTTCCAAAACTCTCAAGTATAATTTGCTTTCCACTGTAATAAAAATTAAACAAACGCTTGACTAATTGACTATTGATAAATAGTAACTTTCCCCATAATAGGTATGTACACACCATGATCCCGTTTCCTTAACCGAACGTAACTAACCCAATGTTTTTCCTTCTGTTTTCTTTGCTCGCAGATTGGGGTTATTGTACAGTGCCGAGCGAGGTGAAGCGTTTCGAGTGTCTACGTTGCAGACGACGTTACAGCCATAGATCAACAATTGTCGATCATCTGCGATACTATTGTGGTCGCGGTCCTCAATTCAAGTGCCCATACTGCGAGTATCTCGCGGTCAATTCATCCAACGTTTACTTACATTGCAGAAGAAGACATCATGGCGAAACACCAAGTGTTGTTAAACTATTTGAGTCACTTGGTTACAGACGATCGCGTTGAATCGCGTTCACGTAGCTCTACGGTGTTATTAATTTTTACCTTAACCAAGTATTCTTTTATACGGTATTTGTTTAGGATATACTATGACTTCATAATGGCAGCACTATCATTTTTCATAGTTTTTAACGATATTTATACAAGCATTCAATAAGTACTTGCTCAAACTATAATCTTCGAGTGATCGATTTATACATATATTTGAAATTTTCAATGTTAATTGTATGTATATAAATGAAAAATAAGATCTGAAAATTTGAAAATAAAATGCTGATTAACAAAAATTTAATAACTCGTGTTAACAATTATTCAAAACATGACTTAGATAAATAATGATACAAATCAGTAAAATAAATTCATCCACAAAAATTATTATTTGCACATACTATCTTAGAGAGAAAGACATCTCACTAACACAAACACTTTTTCGCTTTCAGGTTTCATGAACTACGGGAGCTTGGAATCGTCATACACCGAACATCTGAACGAGATAAAAAGATTCGAATGTTTGAACTGTCATCGACGTTTCACCCACAAGACAACAATCGTCGATCATCTACGTTATTTCTGCGGCCGTGGGCCTCAATTTCAATGTCCTTATTGCGGTTGTCCTGGAAGTAGTTCTTCGAGTGTTTATAGACATGTGAGAACAAAGCATCGTGGTAAAGCGCCTAGGGCTATCAAATTGTTCGCTAATTTGAGAGATTTGAGGTGTTGAAGGCTATTATGCGTGATATGACGCGACATGTTGTAACGAAAAATTGTAATATTTTAGCGTACGTTTCTCCTTATTAGTATATTAGTTAAATAAAATACATTATTTGCGGCTTTTAAGCATAGTTAGTAAAACTCAATAATTAAGTATAGATACAATCGTAAGAGTTGTGTTTTCTCGAAGGTATATTATAAGGCAGAAGTCATATTAGCAGGTAGTGTAAGTATTTTTTTTTATAAAAATCTGGGTTTTTATAGCGATAAAATAACTTCCAGTTCCTACATTGACGCCATTATTTCTATGTTTACTTTCAATGACGATCGTTTTCATATGCGAGTTAAGTTCTATTTGAAAAATAAATGTTTTATAAGAAAAACACGAGTTCAAATTCATGATTTTTCTTGCTAAATAACCGAATCCACCTGCAATGATAAACAAAAATGAAGATATAATCGTACTCATCACAAAGCCATACACACTTACATTCAACATTATCCACCTTTTAATCGCCGATTATCAGTAAAATAAACTAACCTACGTGTTTTCATTTCAGCCGGACTTCTCGGCTACTATCACCAACCATTCTCGAACTTCGCCGTCCCAGCGATACCAGGGCGTCGAATTCAACTGTCACAGCAGAGGAAACACGTATGTGTCAAGTGCGGCAAATCCTATGTTTTCCAGCAAAGCCTCAAACGTCACACCAAATGGGAATGTGGCCTCGAACCTAGATTCAGGTGTCCTTATTGCGGTTACAAAACTAAACAACAGACACACGTCAAGGAACACGTCAAAAGAATGCACGCTGGCAAGAAGATTTATGTGCTGAGGATCCTTGACGAGGGTGAAGTATTGAGAGATGCCGATAATCGAGTTTAGAGACTGGCGATATTTGTTGTACATTAAGAAAGCGATTATGAGTGATATGTATAGATCGAATCACGGGAATAATGTTTTTCCTAATAAAATTTGTAAAGAGATGTACCTTTGACTGTTGTTTCTTTATCTACTCTGGAAACCACGCTGTTGTTTTGTTTTTAACTCCCAATTGGATTAAGGAAACATTGATGTTACAAAGAACTGACCAGGCCTTTATTTTTATTTCCAGAAGAAACCATACCGAAAAGTAAAATCTGCCCACGTTGTAATCAAGTGTACTCATGACTGACGTATTTAGGAAAACACGTGAGAATCGGCTGTGGCATGCTTGCTTGTGATAATCATTATTTTTGCCAACACTATTCACATCGATCGCGCAATGAGATGATTTTAAAAGTCATCAACACGCCAAACACAAGTCATTTGTAAAGAACGATGTTCACGATGTAGACGATTATATCAAACTATTTCATGTATAAAATGTACCATTAGTCATTTTGATAATAAACAACATGTCCTCACGATTCAAATTCACACACGACAAAATATACTTAAAGAAATCCATTGCTCATAGTACTAAAAAAACGATACTCACAAGTAAATAAACTTACCACACTAAAAGAAAACAATTAACTCATCAATACCATCTAACAGGAAACTATGTTATTCCAGGTCGGCCTTACCTGACAATGCGTGACAAGAGATTCAGGTGTCCACGGTGCGCGAGGTGTTACGCGGTCCAACGTTCGCTCAAACGTCACATGCAAGTCGAGTGTGGCAAAGCGCCAAGACTCAAGTGTCCGTATTGCGAGCATCGCACGAAATACAAGGCCAGCATTGTCAAGCACATCGCGCATAGGCATCCTAATTTTCCACGGCGCTGAAGAAAATTTACTGTTCTGTTTGTTCGGAAGTGAATGTCGCAGAAAAAATATATTATATATACCTTTGCTTTGTTTTCGATTCTCGACTACAGCAAAGCTCTGAGAACATTACAGGTGTGGAGCGAAAAGCAATCAATTACTTTCATTGTATAGACAATGACACGTGTATTTAAAGTTTATATGCGATTTTGTGATAGATAGTTTACGTACTTCTGTCAGTTGAAAAGTGTGAAAAGTGATTTATATGAAAAAATAAATAAATGAATAAATAAATAGTTTGCCACGAAAGCCCTGTGGTTGAATTGCATTCTCACGCTCATATCTCACTTTCGTTATCCATTCGCGACTTTCCATCTGCCAAACTCTCGCTTGTGTTCTGTCTCACTCGTTTTGACGCACTTCAACCCGTGCAAACATCATCACCACGCCCGTCTAATAATTACTTACCGCTTTTCTTTTTCAGGAGCATCGATTTGCACACGCGCGAGCAAGTTGTCGAAACCACCCGTTGACAACAGTGCACCCACTGTCACACGTTACCCTTGTCAATTCTGTCCTGCTTCGTTCCGTATTCGAGCCTCGCTCATTCGTCATCGTATCTACGAGTGCGAGGGTGAAAACAAATTCGCTACCACGGAGAAGAAGCTTATGCGAAAGAAACCTGCCAAATCGACTTTGATAGTTACCAAGGTTCAACAGCGACACGATTGCTCAGGTTGTGGCAGAACTTATGCGTCGCTTACGTCACTGTGGCGCCATCGCAAATACGAGTGCGGCGTCGAACCCAGATTTTCATGCCCGCTATGTATGGTTAAATTCGCGCAGAAAGGCAATTTGGTTAGACACATGAAAGCTCGACATCCTGATTTTAAGTTTGAAAGCGAATGAACGTGGTCTGTATAGTTTTTGATTTTTGATAATTCATAGACCGAGTGAAGATAGTTGAAAATAATTTCTATTTTTAATTCACATGCGAAACAAAGTTTATGTTTACGATTCAGCTAGTAGTAAGATTTATACTTTATCACGAGAAATCAAAGATGTTCAGTTGTCCATCTATTTCTCACCGCTTTAACAAGCTATCTTTTAAATTTATTAATTATCTTATAATCGATGCTTATTTATTTCAATTACCTATTTATTTTAATACAGTTCGATAGCATATTCAATTAATTTATTATAATAAATAATATGTACATTGAACATGTTATTTGTATAACTGCATCGACAATAATTAAAGAGATTGCCTTCATTTTGAAAAAAGGTAATTAAGACTAAAAATAAAACACATGAAGTTAGGAAGATTAAAAATCTATATTTTGAGAAATATACATTTTGTATACCATTAGATAATAAGCATCTAAGTTTATTTTTCTAAATAAAATGTTTTTATCTCTATAATGAAGAAATATTTCAATGAATCATAAAATCTTTGGGACTAAATAATTTCAGAAATATTCTGCAAACATATCTTGTGAGCGACACAAATATCCTGCATTTCTTTACAGCAATAAAAGTTCAGAATTTGCGATGATGATATTGTGTATGAATAAGAAAAGATATATATAATGATGATCATAATAGTTATATTTTGTCCCTATAATTTATCATGTGATTCGATCAATCGAATAAATAATTTGAGAAAATATAGGATTAAAGATTAATCGATATTTTGTCAGTCAAGTCTGTAGATCTGAGATTAATTAGATACGACCGCGATAAATAATTTTCACCAACTGTAATTCACAGTGATCAATGAATAAAAATGTGTACATAAATAAAAACAGAGAATGTTGCATTTTAACCCTTAAGAAAATAACACAGGTCTGCATGATTTTGTTCTTGGCTAACTGAGGGTCACTTCCGAAATAATTGTTTGCGTCGAAATTCGAATCTGAAGCTAGAATTTATCCACCACATCAGGTTTTTTAAATATCCTGAACTAAAAAGCTAAAAAAAGCCGTTTTTTGCTATATTTGAGGTCCAGTAATAACGCGCAAAATTTTTTTTCCACAAACAGGAAGAATCGTCTGAAAGGTCTATTTTTACTTTTTAAAATCCATTTTTAAGATGTGAAATATCTTTTTTTTTTCATCGATATGTCGTTGATTAAAGTCAAATATTTTAAGCCTCAAAACAGCTAATTTTTCGGATACCCATATATAACATATGCGATAATATGTAACTTCAATTAATATCATTTCGATGAAAAAAAAAGATGTCTCAAATCTTAAAAATGAATTATAAAGAGTAAAAATAAACCTTTTAGTTGATACTAACTGTTTTTGGAAAATAATTTTTTCGCTATGTTACGGGACATCAAATATAGCAAAAAACGACCTTTTTCCCCTCTTTATGTTAGAATACACAAAGAATTACTTCGGAAATCAGTTGGCCAAGAACAATCACAACTCCTTATTTTGCAGATCTGTGTAATCTATTTGGTAATTCCTTCGTTTATACTAACCAACTTCTATACAAGAGTTTTTTTATAAATATTGCATCATACTTGTATTTGTTTTGGTCAAAACTATCCAATTTCTCGCCAATCACCTGTACTATCTTACTAACATACTCATTTTTTCTTTCAGACCGAGCTTTCTGGATATGTGATAATTGCGGCAAATCGTATACATTGCGACACAACCTATTGAAACACAAACGTTTGGAATGTGGAGGTCAGCGTAACTTTGGCTGCCAATTTTGCCCATTAAAGTTCACCCAAAAAGCTAGTCTACAGCGACACTTACTTCGGCAACATGGCTTTGACGCGAATACTCGCGCGAGAAGACGGTGAACAATGTTTTCGTCATATTTTGTTATTTATCAGAGTTGATTTGATAAAGAGAATGTTTTATATAATAATATATTTTGCGAAATTGAGATTTTTCTACCATCATATTAATCATCAAATATTGTACGAATTTACTTTAAAAATTATAAACAATTATAAGATGAAAAAATGTATCCGTTCTTTTTTATTTATGAATTTTATATAATGCTCCTTTTTCCATTTGTGGAGTCATTTTCATTCTTTCGTCAACGATATTTTTTTCTCAGACTATTTATTAATATTCTTTCATATTCTTAACACGTGTCCATCCAAATTCCTGGTAATCAAATTCTGCATCGTCCTATAGAAAATTAATTTCAAGATACATCACATGATTGCATGAAAATATAACACGGTTAATTACACTATGCATCTCTTTACAGCGTTCTTCTTTGTGATACAGTGAAAATCGGCTTTCATTATACATTACCCACGATTTCATGATTCCTACTCCTCATTACTCAGTAGCGTGATTGATCATCTAATAAGGTATGGGGTTGTATTGCTCGTAGTTATGTAGTTGTGGTGAAAAGACTAACTAAATCTTCCATTTCGCATTAACAACAACCATCACTTGCAAAACAAAAAAAAATTGTTCGCCAATTCCAGGTCCACACTTGTGTCTTATATGCGGTCGAATGTGCAAGACCAACGAAGAACTGCGACTGCATTTTGACACCAAATGCAATGTACGCAAACGATTTCATTGTGACTATTGCCCCAAGGGTTACACCCAGAATGTCAGTCTTCGACGTCATCTTGCCCAGATCCATAATGTTTTTAGACCGCCATTGAAGGCTTGCCGTAGAAATAATACCATGTGAGGCTGATTGAAGAGACTATCAATTTGTATTTACTGCTAAACAAATCTTGGGAGACTTAAGGATTTTAGATTATCTGCATATGATAGTGTTTATTTGACATGTACTCGTTTGTGTCAATTTATGTAACATAAATCGACGTTAATGTTAATTTGAAGCCATGACAAGTCTCTATCTTGATTTGCCTGTAAGAACTGATGAAACGACTTACTATTACTTGAACGAGTGCCTAACAAATTAACTTTTAATTCATTTGATTCATTGTATCGATTCGAAACTATTGATTTTACTGTATTGTCCATTTTGCTTGTATACAAGCATCGGTCTATTTCAATAATGTAATCGATTTTTATAAGTATGTACACGTAAGTAAATTGTTACTATAGTTAAACTCTTGTGATTTTCTCATATTTAAAGAATAACCTATTTGATTATATAATTGTGAAAATCAAAAATTGTTTATTATTTTTTGCCAGTGTTAATAAAATATTACAACGCTAAAAGCTATTTTCTAAACTGTTTGTGAAAGTTTTCATGGCAACTGCATAAGTGTAAATTTTTTTAATATTCACCGATAACCCTACGTGTTCTAGTAATATCACATAAGAGTTTACTCGAACTGGACAGTAACTACCTCACGCTGATTCGCCGTGTTCTAATTTACTGGTTTATATAAATTTTATATAGCGATAAAATCGTTATACCGAAGTAATTTTTGAATAATAAAAATGTTCTTTTTCTGCATAAAATGTTATAACAGACTAGCAAATTTGTTATGGAAATAATTATATCGAATTGTAAACATATTTTTACACCAATGTGCCAATAAATATTAATACATTTTACTTTTTGTTTAGATGAAGTTATTTATTTGCATCCAAGAACCATTTGACGAAATTTGAAAATATACAACCATATTCTAGCTTGCAAATTGTTCGTCAGCTTATAAAGAAAAGTAAACTATTACTATAGTTATTTTATACATTGTATTCACATGCTATATTTTTTATTTTCAGGTAATATCTTCAGAATAGTGGAAAAGGCCAAGAAATCTGTTGAGAAAAATGGATCTAACACGAAAGTCTATTTGTTAATCACTAACAAAAACTTTTTGGGAAAATCCTAAAAACAGTTATTTTAAGTGATCTGTTACATCATTTTCAATACAAGATAAACGATGACAGAAGAATTAATATTAAGTTTGATCACTCTGCTTTTGTAAAATCTGTGTCGCATATCAATGTCAACCACGACCAAATTATGCATTAATAATTTTTAATATCAATAAATCATCAGTCATTCGTCCACCTTAAAGTAATAAGTCAATTAACAGAAATAAAAGCTTAACGTAACACATTTGAACACTTTAAAAGAACCCATTGAAAAAAGCACTTTTCTAACACTCGCTTCTCTTTTTCCTCATTCTCGAATTTCTTCGTTCATTGGATTAACCAGCTCGACACCTGTTTCAGGCTACACGTACTACCCAGCGATTCAAAACCGTCAGATCCAGTTGCCACCGCCGTTAAAAAGCCACCCTCAGCAAATGGAGCAGCACTCGTGTCCGCAATGTGGCGCCACCTTTCCGAAGAGAACGCTGTTAAAGCGACATGTGTTGCGCTCCTGCAAATTCGTACGTCGTCAATGCGACGTTTACGAGTGCAACTCTTGTCCATATCGAAGCAACTACAAAGCTAACATCGAGCGGCACGTACGAAACTTACACCCGACTGGTACCGAGAGTCTTGAGTTCCAATGCCAATTGTGCGACTTTAGAAGCAAGTACTCTTACTGTGTTAGAAGACACATGAGAACCTTTCATCGCGTGCCGTAGACTTACGTATGCCAATTTGTTTTCTTTTTTAATTTTATTCCTCTTGCGAAACCTTGTGCGCAATCGCAATGATACATTATAGCACTGCGTGGCTTCAATCAGCACTCAAATAACATACAAATCCATCTTAAGTGACGGATAGACGAACCGTAAGTGTTGATTTTCAATTGCCAGTGCTATAAAATGTTATACGATACTTGTGATTCAAGTAGCTCATCGTTGCACGATGTGATTGTCGGCCTCGCTTGTGCTCGCGCGCTAATATCACGGCGTGCGATAATGGGCTACTTAAGTCACACGTATCGTGATATACTACTACTTAACCGCAGCGGGCAAAGTATATTACGATACAGTGCGGGAAAATATAGATTCTTGTCTCGTGTGGCGTTTACCCTCAAGCGAAGCGCGGGTGGAAATCTATTTTCCCGGACATTTATATAGCACGGGATTCTTTCGTGCAAAGTTAGATTTCGAACGCACGTCTTTGGCAGAGCGTGCGGGGCGGTCGCACTTTGCGCGCGGAGTGCCGAAAAGTAGACTCTTGCCTCGCGTGAGGTCTTCACCCGAGCGAGGCGAGGCTCGAGAAGCCACAGTTTTCTTCAAAACAACGCGCGGAAAGCGCCAATCTGATCGTGCGTTTTGACAAAGTCACACTTTCCGCACGGCGCGTTGACAAAAAAAAAAAGTCGTGAAATTGAAATCGAATAATCCGAAGAGAGACGATCGATTAAGGATTTATGATCTTTTTTGTGCTTAACCGAGCTTTTTGATGAACTTATATCAACAATGACGATCGTTAGAGATAGAATTGCATTAATGTTCCTAAATTGAAGAAAATATTTTTTAGCAATAACTCATTTACCATCCTATGCCGCTAGATTATATACAGCTAGTGTAAGGAGCTAACTATAAGCAATCAATGCGACATGTAGAGATCAAGCACTTAACTCGATTATTTTTTAAGACGAACCATACCTCTCTTTTTATCTTCTTTCGATAAATTTTGTAAAAAAAAATGTAAGTGGATGAAGATAATAAAAAAATGCATTTATCCTTTAAGATATTGTTGTTAGTGAAACCTATCTATTGTCGGATGAATTCTCGAATCGAAGCTTCATTTTGATAATCAATTAAAATAGACTTGTACTTGATAACGTTAACAATATTCTTGATGCGAACGAAAATTATTTCCTTTCAACAATTTATTTCATTTATATGTTTATAAGGACGATAATTTTACAGCTATAAATGGCTTGCAAAAGTATAATGTTTACAAATCAGAACACAATACACATTACTTTCTTTACATATCAAATGTATCAAATGTTAACAGAAAATTTAGTACTTGATTGTCCCCTCAAACTCGACCTCTTCGTACTAATAATGATTCTCTCGTTTCAGTGACCTACTATAATTGGATCCCACAAAATAGAACAGCTTCTACAGACACACCGCACGTTTGTTCGAATTGTGGCAAATCTTACACAGTTCACAGATCGCTTTGGCGTCATCAGAAGTTCGAGTGCGTCAACTCGCAGCCGAAACAGAGCTGCAATCTTTGCGACTATCAAAGCCCACACAAATGGTGCATTGATAAACATAAGAAAAAGCGACATAACATCGATACCAATTTTCCGATTGTTAACTAGAAAGAATATGCTTTAGTTTAGAAAATAAAATGACACAGAAGATATTTATTTTCGGGTCTTCCATGAAAACTCGAGGCATTAGGGCTAATTATATACGTTACTAGCTGTTTTTAAACAATTTATTACGCTCGAAATAAAAAATCCTGATAAAAAATGAACATTTCATTTTTACTTATGCCGTTTCACGTTGCATCACTTGAATTCAGTAGTGACCTTTTTATAATAAATTATATTAATGCTCAGGAAAAAAATTTTTTATAAAAACTTTGACATTATATCAGTTTGCAGCATTGAAGGTTCACCTGCACAAAGAATCAGTAAATGATAAAATACTATCTTACGGTTGGAGGTTTGTAGAACAATGATACTGATCCCAATTAAACTTTGACCAATGATACAGAAGTCATAATATAATATTAAGCAACAATGCCTGTAAATAACACATATAGGAGCTACTTAAAAATAAAGAACAGAACAATAACAAAACCAAAAACTGATACTAATTTTTTCTTTTCAGATGACATGATAGAAGCTCTTTTCCATCCTTGCCAAATCAAACTTGAATTGCAAGGAAATCCTGCAGTACCAACACCCGTTCAAAATAGACGTGGCAAGATAACGCCACTCGAGTATCAAAACTTCATGTGTGGTCAGTGTGGCAAAGGCTACAAGTGGATGGAGAATCTCCAGAGACACCAGAGACTTGAATGCGGGAAATCGCCAAAGTTCGTGTGTCAAGTTTGCAGAAAAGCATTTTATCGCAGATACGAGCTTACCAACCATGTAAACAGACTAAAGCACTTCTGCTGATAGTTATAATATTTGTTTGATTATATTTTAAAGTACTTATAGAAAACCCAGTTTTAATTATTAAAATAACAGTTGACATAATATGTATCGCATTATAAATAAACATATATAACATTTATCTCAACCATATCTGTACAACTTTATGAACCTGGCACAATTATCTGAACTAACGCATGCGACAAAAAAAACATATACGCTTCCATCAGACTCCCTCGCAGATGTCCTCTTAAATTAAACCTTATATCCTCTGCTTCTAGACGATACGATGCTGACAAGTTTGTGGATCACCCCAGCTGACGAAGCAGAGGTAGTGCCCGTCAAAAGCGAGATCAAAAGCGTCGACGGTAGCGAGCCTTTGACCAGCATAATCGAAGATATGGAAGAATTTTATTTGCCAACTCCGCCGAGTTTCGAATGCGAACAACTTTGGCCGCTCGCAACTACTCTCGCACTGTCAACTCGTAAGCGCTCCAGGCGTACTAAAGACTCGCCCCAGCAAAAGGATCTCAAGTGTCTCAATTGCAACAAGCAGTTTTCGAGAATCGACAGCCTTAACAGGCACAAAAAACTCTACTGTAGAAGCGATCAGGAGACAAGGCCGAGGAAAGAACCGAAAGGCGAAACTTGAGTGTTCTCGTGAACCTGCGAAACCATCAAGCTTTTTGCAAATCAAGTTTACCAGATTTGGTTTTGACTGAGATCTCCATTTTATGCGTCCAATTATTGTACTCTGTTTTATTGTTTGTCCGTACTTAATATTATTAATTTTTTTTCAGCAATTTTTATACAACGAAGCATTTATTAATGCTGCTGATCTGAATGGTTTTTGTCAGAAAATAAAAGATAAAACAGTATTTGTAAATTATGCGTTCGTTATTTCTGCAAATGTCTGCTTCTGATTTCCGACACTTATGAACGACATCGTTAAGATATTTTTTTTCGTAGTTTCGTAGATTGACTAGCATACGCAACAATCCAACGTTGGTATTTTTTCAGTAATTTCAATTGTCTATAGATGATTTTTAGTTGACGTGTTGATTTGATTGGGTTTGAAAAAAAAATCGAATAAAGCAAATGTTTATGCGCGTATTTAATGACGAACATTTTCAAATACTGCTTAGCGAATCGTCATAGAATTGACTTACTGAATACTCATTTTACTTGTATTCGAAATTTATGAAAAAGCAAGCTCTGGATTTTTTTCAGTTTCGAAAACTCAAAAATGATGTGAAGTAACCGTCAATTATTTGTTGCATATGGAAGAAAAAGAGAAAAGTATCATTCACCAAACACATCAACGATTAATTGTAATAAAAAAAAAAAAAAAAAAAATTAAATAAAATAAAAGAAACAATAACCCATTCTGGGCTAACCATACTTTTGCTTCTCTGTCCCCAGTGCTGTGGCGCACGCGATTGAAGAATTTCCCGTGCCCGAGATGTCCAGCAGGTTTCTCCGAAAAAGGTTCTCTCACGCGCCACCTCCGCTACGAGTGTGGCCAGCAACCGAGATTCGCGTGTCCGTATTGCAGCTACCGCGCCAAATGGACGTCAAGCATCTACAATCATGTGCGCTCGAGGCATGGAGGGCAAAAAGTTTACTGTGTTGATGTCTACTCGAATAATCGGCTGATGGGCGTTCGAAAGAGTCACATGATTGACAATGTCAAGTGATGCTTGATAAATTTTTCTTGATAAGAAAGATTGACCGTGACCATTGTATTCGAAAATCTAGGACTGGTATTGAGAATAAAACAAGTTTCATGTTATTTACCAAACTTTTTGTTCTGTTTTGATATCAGTGAAACCTGAAAATTCATTATGGTATACTAATCGCGTTGCAAGTTGCAATATTTAATGAACGATATTATTTTTAGGTTCCGGAATACTAGAAGGAAAAAAGAAAACAACAACGCACTACAAGTATTTTATACCTGTGTTGAACAAATCAACGCGTAAATCATCATTGCAGACTGTGCAGTCTCATTTCAACTATTTTTCGTAGTTATATTTGAAAAGTCACGTCTCCCGTCGACACGGGGACAACAAATCAACGCCCAACTGCAAAAAGCACATTGTGCTTGCGTTAGTGTTAGAAAGAAGATTGATACTTTGACAATTATTTAGCTAGATATTTGCACCAGTGAATCTTCGTAAAAGTTTATTCATTGATTTTGTACAATTGACAATATTGATTTATGCGAACCAATATGATAATCTAGTCTTGCCAATAAATAAAACATTTAAAAATCCTCTCGAAATCTTATTATCTTCTATACTAAGTAAATAAATACTAACATTATTTTAAGTTTGAAATTTCTATAGTATGAAGTGTGCAAATAACATTAAACTTGACATTTTATTACGATCATACAGGTCGATGATACTAGACTAACATGTGTCTTATATTTTTTCAGCAATCGTAATTGAAGAAGAATTCATATGTTTACCACCTGTAACCCAAAAATCACAAGCCTTCGATTTATCTGCAGCAAGGGACGAACAATTTGACGAAGCCAGTTATATATATCAGAGACATGGGAAGACTTATTTAGAACAGCCAATTCAGAAGTTACACGAAAAGTACGGCGGCGATGTACCGAAGTTTTTCTGCAATTACTGCAATTACTCGTGCACGTCGAAATCGAATATGCTCAATCATATAAGAACACATTGCCTGACTACTGTCCGTATCGAGCATCCAAAGCAATCCGAAAAATCGTACATATGCGAAACGTGCGGCAAAGTCTACGCGTCAAAAGGTGGCTTGTGCAATCATAGAAAGTACGTGTGCGGAAAAGAGCCGAGTTTCTTTTGCATGTATTGCGACAGAATCTTCGCGCACAAAGGAAACTTGAACGAGCACATCAACAATCGGCACAAGCCCAATGACTCGTCATTCAAATATCAGTGCCTGCTTTGCGGCAAATCCTATAAGTACAAGCGAGGTTTAGTGCGACACTCCAAGTATGGATGCAAACAGTTCGAGAGACTTACTCCCGCAACAATCTCGTTTGCTGGACTAAAGACCACTTCGTTACAGAAACAATAGCCCTCGACCTTGAGCGAGCGACGCAGACGCTTGAATAACAAAGTAGGCCTGCGAAGGTTTTCCAGCCTGAAGCTGAGCGAGAGGTGGCCTGCGCGCGCTTGAAAGCACCTAACAGATGTTTCGGAGATTTGGCGAGGGGGACGACGAGCGGTGAAAGTTCCTGGCCGAGGAGTGGGGAAGGCATCGGCGAGAAGCCGGGCCTTCGGCACGGCTTTTGAGTTTTCCACGTCTTCCTGACTCGTCACCGAGATACCGCTTTTTGTCTACGCATATAGACTTTCAGATAGACTCTCGCTTTTACTTTCAAACTCGGACTGTGGCACGTTGAGCAATGAAAATAACACGTGGCACGTTCGAAAAAGCGCAAGCGAATGTCGTTTGGCCGACAGTGCGAATGACTTTTGCTCGAAAATAGCTGGAAAAAATCATTTGTTTTACGTTGAAAAGCTAGAGCGAGACTCCCTTAAAGCTTGTGTTCAGACAAGGCGAACGAGATTTAACGAAATTAATTACAATTTTGCGTTACAAAAATGAGAATGATGATTTTTTTATGCGAAAACAATTATTTTACACGGAACTCAAAACAAGGACGCTACATATCGGTGGCAGATTTAATAAAACGTTACGATAAGCGACTACTTTCAAAAAATAGGCATTTTCAAGGTTAATAACATTTATTAACACAAATTATTACAGAATGGGTATAGTTCCCTTTTTCAATTCATATTTTCATTGTAGCTAAAGTAATTTGGTTTGGTAAGAAATAAATCTTTATTTTTTTTAATTATTGAAAAGTTATACTCAATAAATGAATAAAATATTTTCAAGTTCAAACTAATTGGGAACTACAAGAGACTTATAGACTATTAAAATTTTTCAAGATACTTTCAAATAAGTGGTACCTTAGTTGCAACATTATTTCACTTATCAAGTTATTGTCATGTTCACGCTATAAAAAATCAAGACTTATGTATTTATATTTAGTATGAATTTACTTCCACGTAGGTTTATAACATATTTATATGGAATTTTTTAATCATAGTTTAATAATAGGCCATTCCAACAAGCTAATTATAAATATATAGAAATACTTCTGTGAAATTGTACGTCAACGCTGTAAATCTTTCTTATATTATCTACAAATCTTTTAGTACATTACGATACAAGTGCGGGAAAGTAGATTCTCGTCTCGTGTGGCGTTTACGTCTGAGCGAAACGAGAATCTCTTTCTCGAACATGTATAGCAATGCCTTGTTTCGATACGCAGTGTGGAAAGCTCGTTTTTGCACATACGTTTTTGACCGAGTGTGCCGAAAAGTGGATTATCACCTCGTGTAGAAAGATATAAGAATCTCTTTCCCGAACATGTATTGTATAGTACTTTTCGATACGACTTGTGAAAAGCTCGTTTTCAACACTCCATACCGTAAGCATGTATTTTCCACACATTCGGTTAAAAACATACGTTCAAAGTAGTACATTATTAGCCAAAGAAGTGAAAGTATTGACAAGTCCAAAGCACTGAAGGTGTTAAATACGTGCTAGAGGCTAATATACTATATTTTGCCTACAGCACGTAAAATGCATGTTATGAAACATGACACTCGGTTTTCAAGACGCACTTTATGCACAGTAGATTAAAACCGAGCTTTCCACACGTCGTATCGAAAAATACTATGCCATACATGTTCGGGAAAGAGATTCTTGCTTTGCTCGGGCGTAAACACCACACGACACGAGAATCTACCTTCCCGCACTTGCGTCGTAATGTACTAAAATTTTGAACTCGCGAAAAGTACGTGCTTTCCGCACGAAGTCTCGAAAAAAAAAACTTATTTGATATGATTGTTGAGGAACAGGCTGAACGACATATTTTTATACTTTTTTCAATTTACATAAATGAATGTTTAATGAAAGTTTGAATTTAGGATATAGTTTAGTACAATAAGTATCAAGTGAAACAAATAATTCATGTACATTTGTTTTATGCACTTCATGCACGACACGAGACGTTTCCAAAAAAGATTAGCCACTTAACTGAATTTCCACTTCTAACCTGGTTGCATCCCAATTCAATTGCAATGGATTATCGCTATCAGCGTTGTGATCTCATTACGTGGATCACCAATACAATCTTTGTCGTTGCGCGTGTCTAGACCGTAATCAATTTTCAAAGTTCTTCAGCTCATCTGCGCGAGCACAAGAAAACTCACTTAACCATTAAAAAGACTTAGTGAGGCCATTAGCGAGGTTTAATGATGCTTCGGACTGATATTTATTTGTTCTTAGTTATTTGAATTTCTTGTAAAAATAAGAGATAATAAGTAAGTTACTGTGTTGAGAATTTCAAAATATGAGTTGAAAAATACTTGAAAACGTCGATAAAAACAGTTAATCTCAATTAAAGAACTAAAATTAACAAAGCTCTACCTTTTATTCCGCTGTTCATATACATATTTACAGTTACCGTGGATGTTAAAAGAAATCTAATTTATTTTTAATTAATAAATAAAACAAATTATTAGAGCTATTACGGTTAAATGTACTTTATGAATTGTTCGTCCATCGACGTTCTGTACGGTAAATCTCACTTTCAACCAATAAATTCAGAAAAGTCACATCAACCAATGTCTTGTTTCTCCATCTAACATATTTTCTGATCATCGTGCTTTTCCCAACTGTCGACTACCTGCTGACCTAATAAATTTTGCCTGGTAGAGATCCAAGACATCCTGGCGGGTGAGACGAAACACGATCGACCGACAAATTCTAGCCGTGAAAACAAAAAACGAAGAGGATACTTCTCATGCCCAAGATGCACAAATTCATCCACCTATCAACGTGGACTTCGACAACATTTGAAATACGTTTATTTTTAATATCAGTACCATCAATATAGAACCAAATATCGATACGCGACTTACACGTGGCAGATGCAAAGATGAACCTGCACATACGTTTTTTAGTTTTATACTTTTGATCGCTGTTTCAAAAATCGATCTACTGTTGAGGTTACTGTTGATCATGATGAAATAAATGATCTAATATAGCTTTGTACATTTTTTCTGGCCTCGTTGTTGCAGAACCTGATTGCTTTATCTTGTCTATTTTTTTCTGCAATGTTTTTACAGGTTTCAAAGTATATTACATTTTATACTTGTCATTAGAGTTTTATACTTTAAATTGTTGAAAATTAATATATTTTTTAAGCATAGAACATTTTTTATGAAAAAAAAAAATAAAAAAAAGATTTTATTGATACATTTTCCGTTTTGATACTCAAGAACTTCTTAGACGAAACACACGTCTGTTTCGTTCAAAGAGTAATTTTTAATTTCAAGCATCTTTCAATTTACTTGTTACTACAAAAAAACTGATGTACTTTCAATTTCTCCTTGCAGAATCTCAATAACGCGATTATCGATGTCGAGGAGGTTCAGTGAATCAGAAGTGCGTTTCCATGCCCACAGTGTAAGAAAAACGTGATAGTTGCTTCGAACATCAGAAATATGATTGCATACAGAAGTCAAGATTCAAGTGCTCTTATTATAAATATATCTCGAGGCGAGGTTATAACGTTTACGATCACGTTAAGAGGAGACACCCGGAGGGAGAGTCCGATTGAGTTAATAATTCGTTCACAAATCATTCAAATGATAACGTACATTGATATTTATTTATATTTTTTATCATAATAGTTGTATACAGATGCAATTGTTGATTTCGATTTCGATGCAATGTCTGTGGCAATGTTTGAAGAAGAGCATGTGATTTCACGAAGTATTGTAAATTGTAACGACAACGTTATAAAAGAAATAGATTTCTCTTCAGAAAAAGAACGTTCTGTCTTTAACTCGCACGCCACTTCTACCTCGTAAATTAATCATGTGTTTATGTGTAATATCGCCGCACTCAAATGGTTAACAACTCGTTTAGTAATAAAAAGAATCATAATAACCTTTGCATAAGCTCACACGAAATATCTCTGTACGTCGTCACATTTCTATATCTCACTCGAGCACTTAATTTGCAGGTTTGTACGGTCTTCTAACGCCCGAGCAAGAAGTCAACATTCGGACGTCGCGTATCTGCTTCCAATGTGGCAAGTCGTACGCGCACGCGTTCACGCTCAAACGTCACCTGCAGTACGAGTGTAACAAACCACCGAGATTCTGCTGCGCTTACTGTCCGCGACGCTGCAAGCACAAGGCTGACATCAAGGATCATGTGCTCAGGTGTCATAAAGAGCAGCCACTTAGCTTTTTCATGCTCTGACTTGATTTCTCGAGCAGTGCGAGTTTTTGTAAATATACCATAGCCAATCGATCGACACGGCAAATCATTATTTTTAATTATTTATTTTTTCATTAATGGCATTCCATGGGAATCGTGTCGACGTTATTTTACGTTAGAGTTTTATAAAATGTGTATTCAGTGTTGTTTGGATTAACTTATTGAATATCGTGCTTTAGGTATTCAAATAAATTGTTAACGTACATTTTTAAGATTTATAAAATGTAACCTTCAAATAAATATCTATATTTTCCCAATACAATAATCTAGAAAAAAATCATTGCGAATATGCGTCCTACAATCCTTTCTCTACGCAGCCTCTAGCTATATTGAAAAAAAATTAATCCATGACCTCGCTGAAAAAAAAGAAATAAATGCGTATCTCGTCATCATATGGAACTGTATAAGCTTTCTCTTTTCCATTTAAAATCTAAGATGTCCGTCGAAGTTGCCTATTTACGATTTTGCAAAGTGGAGGCAGCCCAAGCAAGCAACAGGTGGCGGCAGCAGCGGCGGCGTGCTTGTTCCTCTCGCTCCCTTTCCCTCTCCCCCTTTCCATAGGCCGACGCTTCCCTCTCGGTGTTTCCAATCGCTGCCGAAAACAGTATTAGCCCAAGCCGGCCCAAGCCGATGGCCATGGTTGCCGCTTCAAGAAAATTTCACTGCTCGCCATTTAGTCTTGCCTCGATTGCTCAGCGATTCGGCACGCGGATTTTTTATCAGTTGTCATTTTTCTCTTCGAGGGGTGGTTTTTTCCGTTTTTATCCTTCTCGTGAGTTCGTTGAACCACGTCGACGGAGGAGAAAATTGTTTCATCCAGCGAAAGCTCGTCGATTCGTATACGCATTCACATGGAAACATTGAAATTTCCTCGCAGACGGTAACAGTAAAACTATAAGAAGGCAATTGAGAGATAAAGAAGAAAAAAAAAAGCCTACGTGACCACGGCGAAGCGCGGACAGCGTCAACGTGCCGCGGATGAAAAATGGCTGTCAAGCCATGCCGAAGCACACAAGCGCAACTTGCGTGCGCGCGCGCGCGCGCGCACTCTCACGAAACGCACCAACACCACGCCGCGTCGAGATGCTCGGCTTGGCAGCCGAGTCTTCCGTTTATTTTGCCATTTCCACTTTGATTGTCGCGCTCGAATGACTTCCTACCTTGCTTTCCGAGACAAGCGGATAAATCATATTGAAACGCCAGTTTCGGCAAAGCAATCGCATTTATTTACGATTGTTTATGTTACAGCTGGCCATCGGAAGCTACAGTTTGTTAAAGCGTCGCGGCGGCAAATAGAAACGGTAACGACAATGAAAACCTTGCGAACAAGCGGAGAGCCGAATATCTATCTACGTGTGCGAGAAAAAAAAGAAGACAGAAGAGAGGCTAAGCGTTCCCGTTACGAAATTCCACCGCCACCATTTTCCCGCATTGGCCTTGAGCGAAAACTTTCCATTGGCCAAGTAATTACTTAGACGGTATCTAACGAGCTAAATTTCGGCAACGCCGAACGTTATACAGACGTATATAAAACGCGTACATCCGAGGGTAAGTATATATATATTTTACATATATGTACATAAACATTTATATGTGTATGTAGATATATATATGCATGTATGCATACATTTGTGCTTTAACATAATTTATATGCGCGCGGCATCCGCGTAATACATATATATATGTATATATATGTGAGTATATATATATATGTGTACTTGTTTATATGGCAGACGACATTGCCGAAATTCGGCTTCATTGATTCGGCCGAAACAATTGTTAGGCCAATGGAAAGTTATTGCTCAAGGCCAGTGCGGGAAAATGGTGGCGGTGGACATCCGAGCGGTATATATAGATATACATTCGTCGGGTGCCGCGCACACGCGCGCAAAAAAAAACCGTTACAATACATGCACATTAAGATAGTTCACGTATAATAAAAGTCCTCGCCTATATACACGCATACATATACGGGCAGAGACAGCCAGACGGCGGCGGGCCTGGACCGCGCAGCTTCGCATTCGCAAAGAGGAAAAAGGAGAGCAAGCGAGAGCGCAAAACACGGCGGCTCGAGATATAGTAGCGTAGCGTAGTAGTAGTAGTCCGTATAGAGGGGGAAGTTCTGTATAGTAGGCAGACAGAGCACGCCGCTAGCGGCGACACCTAAGCTAAGCTAAGGTCGCCCACTTTTCACCGACCAGAGAAAGAGCGGAGACGCCGCAGAGCAGAGCACGCGCTGCGCGCCGCTCGCCGCTCGCTTGCTCTCTCTCTCTCTCTATCTCGCTCGCTCTCGCTCTACAAGTACGGCGTGGATGCTTTGTTTGCGTGGGTAACGCTTTCGCTTGGCTTTCGTTCTCAGTGCGCGCTCCTCTGGGATTTTCGCAACCTCGCAGCTCCGCGCAAAAAGCCGCTTCTGTATAGTGCCGTCGACTGTCATGCGTGCTGGTTCGTTGTGCGCGCGTGTCCCTGGTTCCTCTGTGTTGATTTCACGGAGCAGTGCTACGAGCTTTTTTCGCGTGTCGTACAATGTTCTGTATTTTTCCTCGTGTGTGAGATCAATGTGTGGTGCGCGCGGAAGCAACGGCGAGGTTAAGACATAACCTCACAAGTCTCGCTCCGAGAAAAAAGAGAAGAATGAAAAAAATGGAGGGGGACCCCGCGCGTGTTGCGGAAAAGTGCGAAATTTCGCCACGGCAGCTTCTGACACCCTTCCAGGAAAATTCCTAATGAGCAAGTGGCGCATGGACACGAATAAAGGAAGCCGAAGAGGTATATGTATACGTTTGCGAAAGAAGTGGAGGATTGAGGCATGAGGATACACGACTACTTGTTGCTTGCGGGAAGAGAGAGAGAGAGAGAGAGCGAATTTTCGGCAGTAATGGCCCACAGGCCAGACAATGCCTATGAAGAAGTCTGACAATGTGAAACGTATGGCATTGTATGGCGACTGTTAAAGCGGATAAACGAGGTTTGCTTTGGAATTTTGCGAGGTATGTTGCATTTACAATTTCATCAAAGCTCATGTTAACAATTATCGACTTATTAAATAATTTTATAAAAGATCGTATAAAAACACGTTTTGACGCAATAGAATTTAATTTGATAGTACAATAAATGTATGGCCAATTGTTTACGTTATCTTGTTCACATGATGTAGTGGAAGCTTTTGTCCCATGTGACTCATGCTATGCTATGCTTGCAATAGGGGAGGCTAGGTTTCTTGTATTCACATGGAAGAGTAGATAAAGAATGGAAACCATTTTATGGCTATAAACTGCGCGGCCCTATCTACTCATTGATTTTCATTTAAGAACACGAGTTTGTTCAAAAAGCATGCTTTTCGAGTACTGATGCTTTATATTTTTGATAAATATTTTCTTTTGGCAAAGGATTGCCAATCGACAAACTTGCAACAGTACTCGATTGTTGTAAAATTCACAAATATTTAATTCTGCATAATATATAAAAACTTTCAATAGAAATTTCAAGTTTATAGTACGTATATTGGGTAATTTGTGAAATTTAAAGTTAAATGAGTGCTGAATGAATATAAGGAACAATTATTCGTCGATTGACTTTTTATTTCAATTGATTTAAAGTTAGCGGCAAGTATTTACTGTAACCTTGGTAAAAATATTTTAAGAAACTGTTGATATTTAATAAAATATAAAGTTTCATTAAATTTTATCAATGCGGATAATTTATTTTTAAAGAATGTAAATTAGAAATTCCAAGTTAACCATATGATTTGGATATTTCATCAAATATATGTAAACGAAGTGACTTACAAACTTGAAAAATTCAGTAAGCGAATACATTTACAGAATATTTACTTCATAATGTCATTTTGTGCTTTGTTCAATGTTTACAATAACTATTTACTTAACGCTACATAAACAGATTATGCAAACAAAATAATAGAGGTGGTCTCTTGTATAATAGAATATACAGAAAACAATTTGAAGGGGATTTTGAATTATGCTTCATTCAAATATTATAAAATTTTTTACAAAATGTTCTCTTAAAATAATTTTTTGATAGTATTCCTCATTACGTAAGTAGAAAAAATATTGTTCATGTCTGTTAATGTTGACTAGTTAATGTTGACTAATGTGAATAAACAGTAACTAAAAAAATTATTTTTAAAAATATTACCTAACATGCAATATAAATGTAATAAACTGAACCCCGTTTATTAGGCGAAAAACACGACATTTCACAAACGCACACACACAGTTTACAGTCGGTACAACAGGTTGCCGTTCTCCGCGTCGCAAGACTCGCAAGCTCTATTTAGTATCAGCAAGAGAATGAAAGTAAATAAACATGAAATCACAAAATTCTACATTAATGTATGGTTATTTATTTATAACATTATATGATTATTGTGACATAAGACATTTTTTACAGTTATTTCTAATATAATAAAAAACATAAGGTTCCAATAAATTCCTTTTTACAGCAATTGTGACTCCATCGAACATTTGTTTATCAACTGTTTGAATAAAATCACAACTGCACCTACAGTTCCCTTATTTTATGTTATGTCGTTAGAAAATGTACAATAATTAAATCAAAATTTTGAAAAGTAACAAACAAAACCCCTTTTTCACTAATCCTTCAATTTCATTTGATATAACATGTTCTAGTTTTAGTTATTGAGTCTCCCTTATACCCTTTTTGAGCTTTTTAGGTACCTCACTTACCACTGCAATGCGATAGATATCCCCCTTTCCCTTCTTTTGAATACCCCTTTTTGCTTTGCCTTTTCCTTGGACCATCAACGCATATTGACGATCCAAGGGGAAATAATGATGATTTAGATTATCGAGGTACATATGTCATCTAAGTCATCATTATTTACATCTATTTAGCTCATGGTGTAAATTATCCCATAGATAATAGGAGAACGCTAATCAACTACCTTCCTGTTATTACTGGACTTATAGCTCAAGATGGGTATAACATGTATAAGATCTTGATAGTAAAAATTTTTATATTATAATTTAAAAAATGTAAAAAAATTGAAAAATAAAGAAAAAAACCACTTTTATTCTAATTCTTCAAATTCAAAAAATATAACATTAATATTGTTATTACATTCTAATAATAAAATAAAAATTTATTTTTTCAGACATTGTGTTTCACGGAACTTGAAGATTTTTATTGATTCATTGATTGAATAAAATTTTAATTGTAAATAAAATTTTCTTATCTTATTAAATATGTTGTAAAAAAATGTATGTATAATCTTTTCCTCGATCCTTCAATTTCATTTGCATTGCAATAATAAAATAATAATAATACTTTTTTGAAATAATGCCCTCTCACACACAATTATTGGTACAAGATTTTTTTTCATGTATAACATTGAAATTTAAAGAACTAGCTTATGTTTCAGATTTGGCTTCTGTAATTCTTTTGATGAAATATCAGAAATATTATTACAATCCCCTGCATACAAAAAATCATGAAGGTGGAGTTATCAACGAAAGCACATTATCATCAATTGATATTGTAAAGAAAAATAAACAGCAACGTATTCTCTGAGAATTGTACTTTCTCATTTATTCATTAATAATCATAATAAAGTACTGATGCTACCCTTTATCATTATATTTCTAAGAAAATTCCTTTAATAACATTTGATTGTTTTCTTCTTTTACAGTTGTATAGTGGTGTCGGTGATCATCGTTTAAGTAATTTAAAGGTTTATTTTTTGCATGTCGTATTTTACAAATATTAGAGACGTAAAAAAGCAGGAAACATAAATTTGCTGCTTTTTCGCGTTTCTAACATTATTATAACGTTTTACTTTTTTCAATTTTTTTTATTTCGTTATATTTTGATAAAACAAGATTTTATCAAAATATATCCTTTCTGCATGTCTTTATTTTTTATTACGTTCTATTTTCTAAAAAGAAAACGATATTTTTTCCCTCGCGAATACCGTCATTTTCTGTTCATGATTTCCCCCCACGTACCCAAGTGTGTGCTCCCCTTACTAACTCTAATCATAAGAACTGATATATTCATTGTGGGATCAAGCTTAAATCCTCACAATCCGAAAAAATATAAACATAACAATGAATGTTATTTAACAAAATTCTGGGTTTTAGTTGCAGGCAGAACCAGCAGGCTCAGCATGATTTCACTTCTGCGCCGTAACCGCAAGAAGACACCAAAAGCTCAGCAACTTGCCGACCAAGAACTGCATAAACCGTCACAGCATACCCGTAATCGTCAACGACCAGCGACACGCAATCACTTGAGCGAGCGCTTCCAAAAGAGTAAATCCAAAGTTGAAATATACCAAGATGATTCTCTTGACAGCCTTGTATTCGCAGCCTCACTGGGTCTCGTGTCGACTAAAGCGGACACCAAAGTAATAATATTGCCAGATGGACGCACCGTACCGTCCAGTCCACAGAAGAAACAAAATCAGAGGTCTGCCAATCAATCCCAAGGTCTTGAATTTCGTTGCCGATTCTGCGGTAAAGGCTATCGTTGGAAGAGTACTATGCGTCGACACGAGACCCTTGAGTGTGGTGATAAACCACCTTCCTTCCAATGCCCACAATGCCCTTATCGCGCCAGACAGAGGGGCAACCTTACGGTTCATATCAAGAGACACCACACGAAAGAGTAAAGGTTTTGCGTATCTTCTTGATATCGATCTTTTCCTTTTAATTGTACATTTGATTTTTTATGTTCCACTTGCGATCTTTTTTTAGAAGTTAATTTTTTCTTTTGTTCCGGAAATCGTGTATTTGTTTGAACCGGTATGGTTTAATCTTAATTAGCGTAAGGCGAATTTTTTTTACGTGGGACAATGCGTTCGGCCTAGATTTTTAAGGTTAAGACTATCTATTTGTTTTCTATTTTCTAGGCGTGATATAACCACTTTTGTTTACTTACATTATTTTTTTGATTACCAACAGCGCATGTTTTTCTGCTTTTTTTTTTGTAACGGACTCATTTTTGTTTGTTTTAAAATAAGTATAGTTGAATGATTATAATGATGATGATGCTTTAATTTACTTTTTTTTTGTCGCGGGAACACTTAACTTGCCAAGATTACACTGATACGACGTAGAAAAAAAAAAGATATTTTTGATAAACAAACTTCTGATTACTGTTTCCATGTTGCAAGCAATTTATACCTATCTTTTTCGTAAAAAATTGAATATTTGAACATGAAAAAGGTGATATTGATTAATATACTCTATCTAATAATTCCTATTGTATTTCACGTAGTTGTAGTCAATGACTATTATTTTTAGAAAATATTTTGAAGAATTATAAAAGAAATATTTTCGAGTATCATATCCTCAAAGCAAGTTAGAGTTCTAAAGGTGGTTATCGAGATAACATTTATTTTTTAATACGTCCAACAACGAATACCTCGTTAACCTGACTAGAACATCTCGTGCGTTTCAATTGCGACAACTCTGAACTTGCTTTCCTTACGAGGGTATATAAGTATTTGTAGTTATTAAGATATTTACGATTATAAGTACGATATTTTAAAGAGTGTATTTTCATAATGATACCATTATTTTCCTTTAAATTGTATTCAATTATCTCTATTGCATTGAGATAGCCGCGAGCCCGAGTTTCGTGATCGATTCTGATGCCTTGTCTAGACATAAGCTTTCTTTCCATTACTCTTGATTAAGAACCAATTTCTCCATAGATTAGATACAGTTTTTACATTTTTTCATACCAACCCTATTTTCTTTAAATTAACGAATAACATAACCCGAGCTTGTAATTTAAAGCGAGTCTCTCTTAAAATATATGAAGCATAATTCCGTGTTCACTCTAGTTGACTATCTGAGTTCCACTTAAATTTCTTTAACACGGATTATATTTCACAGAGAAGTCTAATCGATATGTGGCTAATATGAAATAAACGAGAAAATTATGTCTGATATTATAATTTGTTTTTTAACAAAATTATGTGTATTAAGGTTATTAGATTACGAAAGTTCATGTGAGATGATTGTCCAATTTAGACAAGGCATAATAAATAAGATAGTTTAATTCATATTTTGTCATTCGTGTTTTTTACCATATAAAAATATTTAAACATGTGTGCCTTTCAATCGTTCGTGGTAAAAAAGCCTAAGACTTTAAACATTCACAGTTCTTACATTCCCTTTTTTGCATTTGATAAATATTCTTTTTATGAATCCATGTTTTAATCTGGTAGAAAAAAAAAGTTATAACTATTGAGGCTAAGAAACCTAGAATTAAGAAGCATTTGTACAAACATATTTTTATACCTATTTATCAATTTTTTTACTCTTAAAAATAAAGTTACTTGATTTTTTTTATCATGTTTAGTATTATTTTAGTACTTGTATTTGTCAGATATTTTCGCATTAAATATTAAAAATTCAAAAATGTATGATGTTTGTCATTTTTTATTTATTAACCCCTTGAAATTAAAATATTTCCTTTTTTCAGGTTCATCAAGTTTTGTTTTCTATACTAACATTATTTTATTTTTTTTAGGTAAGTGAAAGCCAGAAGGATGCTGGAAAATAAAAAAGAAACTATGGCAATCATCTCGAATCAGTTGAATTTGATTGGTGACAATCAATAATATATGATAATTTTTTATTTATTTTTTTTTATTTGTACCGATACAATAAAACTATTAATAATTTTGTTTATTTTTTTTTACAAACTCATAACCACATCTCTAATCTCTTATGTAAATTGTACAATGATTAGCACATAAGAATCTTTAGTACACTAATTTTTCCTTTTTTCGCTTGACTATTTACTGAATACTTCTTATCTCAATTTCCAGCAAAAATAATTTCAATTCTAATCTAAACTTAAATTTCAGCTGAACAGTATTTTCTGAAAACGCATTAGGTTGAGGACTGCTTTTGAAAATTTCCATAACCAAACCCAAATATTAACTTCTCAAACTCTAGTATTCACTTACCTATCGAATGAAAAGAAATCGATAGTTAAACGAATACACTAGCTTAATGCAGCTCTCTAACTAAAAAAAAAAAAAGAAAAAACAAAACAAAACACGAAAAAATAAAAGACCAAACTACACCCTGCTTGTAAGAAGTGAAAACTTCATGCTTTAATCCCAAAGCCGCAAGCGACTAATCATAGGCAAAATCCTTGTTTTCTGGCTGTTGCAGTTTGCAACCTAAGTCTAGCAGACCTGCGTCGCTCAGCATCATCTTGGCACTCGTGGTACGTGCCGTCCATAGTCTGGCGTACACCAAGTAGCGCTTCCGACAAGGACAACAATACAGCAAGTCCCGACAACAAGGAGTTCGCGTGCCAGGATTGCGGTCGCGTTTACAAGCTGAAGAGTAGTCTCAGGAATCATCGCAAGTGGGAGTGCGGAAAGGAGCCGCAATTTCAGTGCCCGTACTGCTCTTACAGGGCCAAGCAGAAGATGCACGTCGCCAGGCACATTGAGCGCGTTCACAAGGACAAGATCGAGCTCAAGCAGATGGCTGACTCTTAAAAAAGCAACGAGTTTTGATCTAGTGTGTTATGGAGGGTGGTGTTTTAGGCTTGTAGTTCGAGTTATCCTTTCAATTTTACGCGCGATATTCCATTCAAATTTTATTTTAACTTATTTTTTACGCGATTGTTGAATGGTTCATTGACATTTTTGAACGCGAAAGGACAAATCCCGGTGTACTTGTTACTTTTGAGGATAGAATTTTATGGAGTTTTTTTAATTTGAATATATATTTGGCCCGTGCGCAAGATAATTTTTTGCATGAAAACTACAAGCCGATTGCGAACGATAGCATAAGTATTTACTTGTAGGTCAAAGAAATTGCAAGTATTTACTTAAGGAATAGATAGCTTTCAACTAAGTGATGAATATACTGAAATTATTATATTTTTCAAAGAACAAACAATATGAGGTTTCCATTATAAATAAGCAAAGGGAGTGAAAAAAAAAACTTTATAATCATTAGCTAAAAGCTGTGATTTTGCATTTATACTCAGATGAAGATCAAACATTTAAGAATGTTATATTCGAGGTGGCGTTAGAAATCATCAAATGATTTTATTTTATGTGGAGTAGATTTTTTTAAATTTCATTACATCTGTATTGAAATCATGCGGAATCATGATTTTTTATTGGGATCCGAGATTTTATTACCTTATAAAGGCTTTATAAAATCCTAGGCAGGAAAACAATGATAATTCTAAAAATTGTAAGTTAGTGTAGGATGAATGAATTGAATTGCGCTTTAACCAAGACGAAAATTGTGCTTTAATTACTTTTTTATGCTTAAAATTCCTCTACATGTATATATAACACATCAAGATGTGTGGAAAATTGCCTTCCTAGTTTCGTCTCGAGTGTGCATAATAACTCAGAAAAAAATATATAATACGATCATTTTGTATTGTACAATTGCATTGGTTCAATTGCAGCTCGTTTAATCAAGTCAATTATTTAAAATAATATAAGAAACTTGTCTCTTTAAGACAGCATTAACCTATCAGTTATACTAAACACTTCAAATCTGATGTTTATAATGAAAAGTGACTTTTCAAAAATTATTTTTAAATAATTGCTCAAAGCGGGTTACAATTGAATCATTGCAATCGTACGTTACTAAATTATTGAATCTTATGCGTTTTTTCGCATTATTATATATATTGGAGGTAAAATTTAGGGAGATCAATTTTACATTTCTTAATGTGCTATATATACATGTAGAGGGACCTTAAAAAAATTCTATATTTTGGATCAAATTATTTATGTTTATTGATAGGCTTGGAGCTCGACTTTTCTAAAAAGTTCTTCGGCTTTTTCTCAAAAATTCTTAAAAGTAATGTAACAAATCGGCTATAATTAACTCTTTAACTTAAAGGGTATTGGCATCTTTAAATTCTATGTTATTTTAAGTAAGACTATATAATTCGCTTCGTTCTTAATCTTTGCCCCTTTAAAAGAAAGTAGTATCATTACTATAAATTATTGTAAGAAAATATTAGGAAGTTTAGTTAATTGGGATTTAAGTTTGGCTAGTTTTTCGATTTTATACGAAACTGTAAGCAAAAATCATATTTTTATCTTGTGCAGGAATCAGTTACAAAGAAAATAACACCGACTGTGATAGAATTTATTTGAAACAGTCTTCTGAAGAGACCTAAAGAGATGATGTATTAACTGTCATCAATTTAAAAGAAAAAAAATTTATTGATATTGCTATACAGTTAAAAAAGATTTTTAAATCTTCTCCACCGCAGCGTAGAGTATAAATATATGGTAACAAATTCTAATTTTTAGATCATAAGTGCCTTGTCAAATGATTTTTATTCGGGTAAGGTAGAAAATTAAAGCTATTGACAAAGTTTCCTCAAGAGCTCCAATATTTTCCTTCGTACTTCCAGTGACGTTCAATTTGAAAAGATGATAAAAATTCTACGTAAATCATAAAAAAAAACAAGACAAAACAGAAAAAATACAGAAAACGCTATATTTTGTACAGCGTCCACCGATAGATCCTACAACATTAAGTCGTCAATTTTTTTTTTAATTCCCAATAGATGTACATATACATGTCAATCATGCAAACAAAATAAATGACCATGTCAAAATCTTTATAAAAACTGTAGAATCAGCATGATGCTTTTAATTTAATGATGCATTTATTCATTATACCGATATCATCACCGCATTTTTTACTCCGATAGTATTCCTACCTCTGGTGATACATTACTTTTCTTTCTTTTTGTTTTTTATTGCGCTATTTTTATTTTAATACGCAGATAAGAGTTTCTGTACAGAACTCGCAACGGCCAAGGTTGTGAAAGATTTTTATCTCAAAAAATGATACAAACAGTATAATGATATCGTAATAATAATAAGTTACTAACCAACAATAACACTTTAGTTCCTCGACCTTTTACATTTCATCAACTACCGAACGATCCTTTTATTTATTCCCACCGTATCTCAGCAGATATATTTAATTCTATTTTTTTCTCGTTATGTTCCTGTACCGAACGTATTTTGTATAGACTGCAATAGACTTTTATGTGTAGATACTTTTTTTTAATTTTTAATCGTTCTTCCTCTTGAATCGCAGACTACTCCAATGCCTCGTATATGAGATTACACATTTTAAACATTGTGCCATGTTTTAGTTGATTCCGTCTAGCATGTAAGAGAGAACCCAACTTTTTTTAATCGTGATAGTAAATACACATGACACCGCATACAAGCGAACTACAGTTTTTATAAAGATATTATACTCTTCCCCCACCTACAACCCTATATTGTGACCTGTGACTTGAATCGTACTATTAAAAGTAGGTTAAGTGTCACTCATCTATTTTTTAAAAAGAAGTATTTATACGATAGGACATCAGTAATTGTACTCTTATTTTAATGGACATATTATCTTGTATCTTGTAGGCTTTTTACATTAATTTTTTTTTATTAGAAGGTTTAGTTGGCAGGGTTTGTTTTGTACAGATACCGATTCTACGTGATTTGATTAAACATGAATTTTTTTTATTTGATTTATTTAACATATTGCTTTTTTTATTCAACGCGAAAAATAAAATTTTATTTTTTCAAAACATCAGGTACTGTATGATACATCTTTCTACAAAAAATTATCAAATGATTATTTGGCACAAAATATTCTACGCAACGTAATTGCACATTTAATCATTTTTTAATAATGGACAGAATCTTTAGTTTAGGCTAATTATTTTCTAAATGAAATTTTTATAGAAAGTTTATGTGCTAAATAGAATCTTATTTTCTAATAAATAATATTTTATATTTTTTGTTTAATTCAAAAAGCGTTATGTTAAGTTAATGAAATTTTTAAATTCGTGTAGAACCGGTATTTGTATGAAATAAGTCTGGCCGTTTAGTTAAATACTTTTTATTTCAACTGTAAATGATATTATGAATTTTTAGTGAATGCATTTATAAGTGACATCTTTTGTAAATTTATAATTGAAATAAATATAAAAAAAAATCACAAATACAGCGCTGTTTTTTCTTTCCTCTCGTATCTTCGTTATCCTTAAATTTTTTATTTTTTCCTTTAAACGTAAAAATAATAAAAAAGAAAAAGGAAATTTGTTTTTGTTTTTATGAATTAATTTTTTATCTTTCATCGTACAAGCAATTTTCCTTATTTAAATTTTATTTGGGTTAGAAAATGTCATACGGTATGGTCTCATGGAATTTGTAACACTGTTTTGCCATCGATCATTTTTAGTCTTTTCGTTGAATGTTTTTCAGTGCTCGTCAATTCAACGTTCCGAGTGGTTTCTTTGATTCCATTGATCCAATTACTGAGATGTAAATTGTTATAATTTCAGGCGATAAAATAATTGACCATCTTCAAAACACTTCCATGAAAGAAGAAGTAAGTTGCAGATTGGACAACACTGACTCATCAGAAGTATCCACCGCAACACCAGGTACATTACGTTTCTCATAAGAAATTTGTTTTTATTTTTCCATTTATTTTTCCCACTTCGTCAAGTTGAAACGCAAAATATCGAAAAATCTTGCGATCCTAGCTCACCGATAGATCATTTGAAAATGGTTTAGTATTCAAGCTGCAAGCTCGTGCGGATGTACGTGCCGCTAAAGAGTTCGAACCGCTGTCGCAAGTGCAACGCTTGCTTAAGATATCGATGCGCGTTAAGGAGCCTTGATAGCAGACAACGCACGTGAAGCGCGTGTGCGCGAAACCGTCGAAATTCTTATGTAACGATTGCGATTACAAGTGCTACCTCGAGCGCGCGCTACGTAAACATATTCGCACGGAGCACACGCGATGACCAGCACGGCTCGAGTGTCCCGAATACGAACAGCCATCTGGAAACACACTCAAAATTAACCGGACAGTGGGCACGAGACGCGTCCATAGTGCGGAAAAATTTACTTGCTAGAGGATTATAACATATATAAGTAAACGCTGCATGACATGTAACGGAAATAACAGCCATAAGTTGTCGAGATATTCAGTCATTACTCGAATGTTCGGAACGCGTTAATTCCGACGATTAGCACAAATGCCATACTCCTGGGAAATAAAATACCGAGTGTTTTATGTGCGCATAGCAGAATAGTCGACGCAAAACATATCAAGCTGAATATTGAATGTAGATATTTCAAACTAATGAATTAGAGTATCGCCAATATTCTGTATTAAATCTTAGTTGAGACTGTGCTCGATTGGTGGAGGCATTACGGGAAGAAAACAACAATTGACGTTTCCTTAACAGATTCGTTAACCTCCTCATAAAAAAAAATAACATCCCGAAAGTGTTGTGGTCAGAGCAAATGTACGTAATCGGCTATGTGAGATAACAGATAGAACTATAGCGGGCAAGAACATCGATCTAAGAAAATTCTGTGCTAAAGTTACATGTAAACGGAAACAACTACGCTCTTCGCTTTTTTAAATTCGTAGCGATAATTATTTAAGATACAAAGATTTATAAACAACATGACCTTGTCTACTTGATGCACTGTACTACTGGAAAAAATTGATTTTACATATTTGTTGACTATCCAACCTGAAATAAAAAATCTAGTTCATTTTATTTTAGCTATCCTTTGTAAGTGGACATTGTAATCGTTAATCTAAATCTGCAATGCCATACTTACAGAGTAGTTTATTCCTGTCCGTAAGATTGTTTCGTCCGTAACTACATTGTGTTACGTTTTCAGATGTGTATGTGACCTGTATCTAATAATAATAAAACCGATGCTTAATATTTGAAAAAATTTCAGATTATGAAATGATGGAGTACCTTCAGTTATTTCACGTAAAGCAAGAAGTCCGTAAATACTTGGACGCGCAGCAAGAAATAATCGACTGCTTGAATTTGAAGCAAGAAGAAGCCAACTGCTTGGACGAAAATTGCTCGACAGGTATTTTTATGTTCTCAGCATTCGTCAGTAATCTTGCCAAACTTCTCATGCATTTTCTCTTTATTTTCCAGACCAAGACAATCGCATCAATCCATTCAGCCATGTCGGCGCGACGAAAAATCTGAGGATGCTCTACTGTCCGTACTGCAAAATATCGATGCGCTACGTTCCCCTCAAGACTCCCAAGTGCTGCGAGAAGTGCAGAGCGAAGTGGCTATTCCAGTGCGGAACTTGCGACAAGCTCTACAAGGAGATGAAATCGTTGAGGGAGCACGTGAAACACGTGTGCAACAAGGAGCCGCGTTTCTTGTGCAATCAGTGCGACTATAAATCCCACTACGAGAGGACGTTGAAGACGCACCAGCTTACCAAACACCCCAAGTGGTCGAAGAGAGTCGTGTGTCCCAGGTGCGGGGAAACCAAGCAGCAGCAGTACATAAGGAAACACATGGAGACAGTCTGCGGCATCAAAGATCCCGACCTAATTCAACAGGTTTGCGGGGTGTCCATTACCCGGGGAAATCCTAAGATTTGCCCGCACTGCTCGAGGGTATTTAAGAGGATCGATCTTTATTTAGAGCATAAAGCCATGTTTGGCGTTGTTGATAATGAGTGACTTTAACGATCATACTCCAGCTTTTTTTATACATATAATTTTGAATCAACTGTTAAAAATGAAAGATGACCGCCAGAAAATGTTTTTGATCAGTAAATATAATGATAGTGTATTATCAAAATATACTTTGTTTAAAAATGCTCCGAGTTCACTATCGAGTGAATAACATGATCTGATAAGGATGAGTACACTTTTTATAAAACCAAACTGTTACAAAACTAAAAATCAGAAGATTTTTGACTAAAACTTATTTTTGAACATGCATTTTCGAAGTGTTATGGCATTGTTAACCATGCTAAAATAAGTAAAATATTTGATGATACTTTAATTAACTACGGAGAATTTATATAATTTTAAGAAATAATGCTTGAAAAATTCATTCTCTATTATATAGTTTATAAATATATAGTTTATTATCTCCAACTTATTGTTCAAATTTACTATTTTTGTAATAAAAAAATACGAAATAAAATAAACAATGTAATCTTAAAAAAATTAATTGTGGATTCATATTTGTGCTGTAACTATAATCATTTCATGCTAAATATGCAGCTTTCCGCAAATATTAACAAAAATCACAATAAAAAAAATATCACCTTTTAAATTCCATGTCTTCCTATGTTCAAAAATAATATCTTTTGGAAGTACCATATCATCACAAGGTAGTTTTTATTTATTTACTTTTGTTTGCGATCATGTGATGTAAATTTAAAAATTAGTTGAAATTTTATTATTAATTTATAGAGAAACATTTATCTTCTACTTGAATCGGAGCTTACTAACAAAATCAATTTTTACAGGTAATGCAGACTTGAAGAACACTGTACTTTTGAAATCATTATTACACGACTTCGCAGTCGACATGTCAAATCTTGTGCCAAGTGGTAAGAACATTTTTTTAATTGTACTAACTAACTTTTAATTGATCTGTAACACGGCTACATAAATTTGAAATAACATTGTGTCATGCTGGATTCAATCCTAAAGACGAATTCATCATTGGAGAGGATGGTTTTGTTCTCTGCGAAACAATGGATTTAGCAGGTAATCGATCTCATCAGACACCTTGAAAGGACTTAATCATAATTATTCAAAATTCATTCTTTGTTTGCAGAAAACTGTGACGACACAGCCAGGGAGGAAGACGTACTCAATCTAGCAGGTAACGCTCCAAGAGCAAACTCATCTCTGCCAAGTCCTCAAAAAACTAATTAACGATCTGTTGATCCTTTCAGATTCCGAATCGAAATTCGTACTCTGCAAGTAGTGCAATGTCTTATTGCGTTACGAGGGAAAATGTACTCCACGAATCTGTTCCAGCTGCAATATCTCCTTCCATTTTCAATGTGCCAGATGCAATCGAGTCTACGAAAAACACGACTCGCTGCGCTCGCACCTGCGCTACCGCTGCTACAAGGAGCGCTACTACACGTGCGACCAGTGCAAATACAAAACCAGCAGCAAGGGTTCGCTCAAGCTCCATAAACTCTCGCGACACGAGCCTCCCCAACAATTGCTCTGCGCGCAATGCGGGAATGTGTACAAAAATCGCTTCTCGCTCATCAGACACATGAAAATGTGCAAATCCAGCGATTTTTTCACGTAAAATGTTGTTAATACGGATGTCATGTTCATCGAATGCATACATCAATATAAGCTTTAATGTAAATACGAAAAAAAAAACGATATTATATAAAGCAGTATAATGAATTATAGTTGAATTTACGTAATTAATATTGCGATTTCGCAAGGGGTGTTTTCCTTCCCATTCCCTTATTCCTTGCAAGCTCTTGTTATCTTCTTTTTTCAATATCATTCTCTTTAGTTATTTACTGTAGAGTTCTTCACTTGAGGCATCGTTTCTAATAATGTAAATATAGACATAAGGTAGATGGTTTGGTATCGCGCTGCTTTGGTTGATTTACCTTTGTTTATTTATTTTACAGACTCATACTCGGATGACGATGAACTTATGGAAACGCTGACGCCCGAGGTCGAGATGAAGCGGCGACCGAAACCATCAGGTACGTTAAAAGTCTCGTTATTTCGCTTAAATTCTAAATGAATGTTCCGTTTACACGTGGATGCTCGAATAGTCGACGTTGCACAAATAATCGAGTGTAATATAATCGCGTCGAATGAAAATTCCGAAAGTTTTATCGGTCAAAGGCACACGAATGAATATTAATGCGACTGACTTTCGCGCTATCGTATTTTTGCAGTTTCCCAATCAAAACTGGTATACTGCCCGACGTGCAAGAAGTCCTGGAAATACGTAGCTCGTAAAACTCCGAAAATCTGCGAAAAGTGCAAGACAGCATTCCAGTACCAGTGCGAGAAGTGCAACCGCCTCTATCGTCGGGTTGACGCGTTGACGGTTCACGTGACATCTCAATGCATACAGCTGCTCAGCTGCAGTCAGTGCGACTTCAAAACAGAAGATAAGACTAGCTTGGAGCAACACGTGTTACTTGCACATACGAAACCTGGAAGATACCAATGCCAGCGCTGCGGTAGAGGGTACGAGGCTCTCAGATACCTCCAGTCGCATATGTCGTGCTGTAAAAAGGACAAGCCCGACGGTCGATGAACAATTTAGTTTTACGTTCTTAGTGTGTTATCAATTTTTCATTTTTTTTACTCATTCGTTTTTGCGATTGGCAAAATTTTAGTTATAATTTCTTCTTACATTGACACGCTTGATTGTATACTCAGTTTTTAGGAACATTTTTATTTTTTATTTTGAATACAGATGAAATTGCTAATCTGTAGTATAAAAGTGTCGACTGATTTTATATACAAATTTATATTATTTCTTTTTATTATCAAACGGTGCTGTGTTTGCCGATTAGTTTCATCTTTGAATGTATGTATTAAATAATTATATGTGTAATTTTTAATAAAACTGTGTCAAATTTCATTATAGCATAATTTCATTTCAACTTTTCTAGTGAAGATATCATGTAAATATTGAATTTGTTCTTGTTTCGTGGTAAAGATAGTGTTGAAACTCACATAGTTTTTTCAGTTGCATCAGATAAACTCATGACAAATTTATTCTCAGCAAATCGTGAAATATTCACTTCAGAATTAAACTGATCTTCGGTATATGTCTGTAGTAAAACAAAACTTAATAATGTGACTTTTAAAGTGTTAAAGAATTTTTCTAATTTTGTCATTTTCGATTATCTCACTAATTTTTAAACTGTTATATGAAACAGTGTGACAAGTATAATTGATATTGAATCAATAGATATGTGGAATTTCTGATACGATCATTCTATTATTAATAATTTTCATTTCATTAATTTTCTACTATTCTCAAACGATTATCAATGAAATTTAAAAAGTTACATCCTGTATGCTTTTATGTACGATTCTGATCGATAGACTGCGATACAATTAGAAAGTTGTTGATATTCTCTTGTTAATATTGATAACCATAGGTAAAGCTGTGCAAAGGTACAAAACGGTACGGACAATCATTTGCAGTTTTATATTAAATGACAATTGTTAATTATTTTCATTAAAGTAATGTTGACTTCAATAATGACGAACTGAAAGAGCACGTGTACTGAAAACAATCAAGATCCGAATTATTTTCACTGAGATTCGATAATGACTTTAGATTACTACGAGAGAGCGCACCGCTTCAGCTAATTTGGGAATGAAAACAATTAAACAAGGTCACCAAACAGAATAAAAATATAGGAAAAGCAATTGACACTATTGTTGGGCGAACGAAACAACGAACGAGATGAGTCACGGACGATGAAAATTAAAGATCCTTGTTTGCCACATCAAGGACTAAAGAAACCAAGCTCAAAAAAAAAAAAAACTATTTAGCGTCAAAAATAAGTCTGATTGTGGGGGCATAATGGACATAATCCAGACGATTCTACAGCGATGACACCATCTGGAGTCTGGAAAATAGCTACGTCAATCAAGCCCTTAAGAGGCAATGGGACGATTATGTACCACTTAGTTGTTTTTTTTATTTTTCCAATTTATTTTTCAAATGATGTATGCTCATACATATGTAATTTGTTGTTTATTTAATAATTATTCAAATCGATGATTGCTATTCTTTTGTGGATAATTTGTCACTAGAAAACGTACATGGTATGAACTCATGAAATACATTTATTGAAAGGCACAGAATAAATGTAAATTAAGATTGTACACAAAATTACAATTCTTATATAAATATTGTTATAATTTACTTTTGTATTTAGGAGAAAGCTGAGAGTATCTTTCATTTTTCAAACAATCCACGAGACGCGTGGATAAGAAGCAATGGCAAAAGTTCTGAACGAGTGCACGTAGCGTTCAAAATCAGAGTTTGAGCAGACTCGCAAGGCGAGCACGTGATACAGCTACGACTTCGCACGATTCTGTAGGTGATCTTGTGGTCCTTTGACGTCGCGTGCGCGACGAAGGGTATTTGCACACTGCGAAAACCAGTCGGGCGTCACGCGGTCGCGTCAGCAACGATTTACTCTGGGGCCACCTCCGCCAATTGACGAATCTCGGCAAGCGCGTGCAGTCGAATCGCGAGGCTTTCGAGAGCAAATGCGAGCGCTCGCTCAGCGCCGCGATGGCTCGGTGGATGTAAACAATGCGAGTCCCGTGCGGCTAGGCGGATTATTTTCAACAATCGTACGCGTCAAAGTTGACCGCGCGACTTTGACGACTCGAAGCCTGCGTTCTCTGATCAACTTAAAAACGTCAAAGCGAAAATTAAACGAGTATTTCAGAGGGCAGCGAGCCAATGCTTCTCGAGAGCTTGAGTTTGAAGGAGGATACACGCAGTAATATTGGGGTATTATGGGGGGGGGGGGGGGGGAGCAATCAAGCAGTAGCCTAATAACTAGATCTAGAACTACAAGTATAAAATCTGTTATACCAATTACATGTTCAGACTTGCTTTGATGCAGTACATTAGGTTTGAAGGCGCAAAATCATAGTTGCCAACGCAAGCAATACCTTGCCAAACGTAATGAAACTCGCGCGATTCTTGCATTATTTTACAGCTCTAATTTGAAACTGGGAAAAACGTGAACGTGTCGAGCTACTAGTGCGATAAAAGGGAATCGCGGGAGGGTTGAAAAATGCGCAAGGCACGAAAAGAAATTTTCGAAACAGCTCTTGCTTTCTGGATATTTGACTCGCTAGACAACGACACTTATGTATTGCAATGATGGCTTATTGTGAATAACAAACATAATAACTAAAAGTATTTCTCAGTGTTTTTTCACATACCACCACGCTAACAAAAATGTTTGTAATTGTAGTCAACCGCTAGAAAATTGCACCGCATGTTCAATTAATTTTCGATTATTAGATTAGTTATAAGAGTACCTCGGTTTTGACTGATAATCAACTCTAACCATAATCGGCAATTTGTGAATCGTTCAATGTTTCAGAAATCGAAATCAAGGAAGAATTCAAGTACCAGCCGGCGTCGAAGGCGCTGCAGCCGTACGTGTGTCTGAGCCCGCTGCCGTCGGCGTCGAGGCGCGTCATTGGCCACAAGTGCAGCAAATGCAGCCAGACGTTCAAGTGGAAGGAGAGCCTGTACCGGCATCTGGAGGAGGAGTGCAGCGGGAGACCGAGCCTCGCGCGCGACAGCGACAAAGCGAGAGCGCCACCGTCGGCGAGCAGCAAGGGCCGGCACCAGTGCCCGACCTGCGGCAAGACCTACAAGAGCCGGGGCTTCTTCGACGCCCACGTGAGGAAGGTGTGCGGCCGAGCGAACGAGGCCATTCGCGCGATCAAGAGCACCACCTGGGACATCAAGTCGGACCACAAGTGCGCGATCTGCAGCCGGATCTTCACCTCCAAGCGCTACCTCTACCAGCACATCTATCGCGTGCACGTGGAGCACGGCTACTTTTGCGAGCACTGCGACTACGCCAGCAAGGACAAATACAAGATGGCGAGACACATGAGCGGGAAGCACTTCTACTTGGACAGCCTTCCGAAGTGCCACGACTGCAAGAAGACGTTCAAATCGGTGGACTCTCTGAGCCAACACAGGAAATTCGGCCACTGCGGAGTCAGCAAGAAACTGTTCTTCTGCGATCATTGTGCGAATTGCTACCGCGACAAGCTGCACCTGGCCAGGCACATCAAGATCCAACACGACGGCACGAAGCGCGCCGCGTGGAAAAAGCGCGGCGGGCTGCACAGCTGCGAGGTCTGCCTGAGAGCCTACAAACGGGTGACCGACCTGAGATACCACCTGCAGTTCAATTGCGGCAAACCGTTCAAGTTCAACTGCGACCACTGCGGCTACTTCTGCAAATCCAAGTGCCACGTGATGCAGCACATCATCTCAAAGCACGGCTATTTGAACGGCCTCACCGCGGGGCGGAGCGTCTGCCGGCTGTGCGGCAAAACTTACAAGTGGAAGAAGGCTCTGCAAAACCATCTCAAGTACGAGTGCGGCAAGGACCCCAGCTTCTTCTGCGACCGCTGCAGCTACTCTGCCAAGCACAAGTCCCACGTTATCAGACACATCGGGGCCAAACACTGCCAGGCCTAGTGCACGTTGTCGGGCGAGAGAGCCGCTTCGTTCTTTTACCCTTCGCTTTCCTTTGCGACCGACGCGGTTACCTTCGCCGAGCGCCGGCCGATCTAACCTGTGCGAGTTCTTTTTCGGATGGAAGATCCACCAAGCGAGTTGCGTACCTTACCACTTTTTGACAGGTACGATCTGTCGATTTTTTCTCGAACTTTCATGAAAACACCGAAAAAGAAATCACGCATCAATTAAATAGTACGTGCGCAAGAGTAATTTTCTCCATCGTCCATTCTCAATCGTTTGTTAAGTGAATTCTATTCTAGAAACGTGTGCATGTGTCCCTCGATCCGAGTCGACATTTTTTCAAATTTTTTCTGAATGTATTTATCCTTGATTTGTAAACTTTCTTAAAGGTATAACGCATACGTATGTAATATACCATTGTTTAAGCGTCCATACATAGACGAAGTGACGAGTTGCGGGGCTGGATTGTGGTTAACAAAACGGGAATTCGTGTGTTTGGATATTTAATATTCAATGGTACCACTGAAAATCTGTATTCATAAATCTATTCCTCAATCACATAACATTTAATTAAGAAAATCAGAATAATTTTTACAGCTGAATAATGCTTGCACTATTTCAGCTCGCCTATTAAAATGAGAACTTGAACCCTTTGACAACGAAAATGAGCTCTTCTCCACTACTTATTAATGGTAGAATCCCCCTCTCCCACCCCATAGAAAACTAAAATTGTTATAAAATAAATATCTAGATCTTTAGGGAAAGCGTTCAATAGAATAACATGTTTTCTTCAATTCAACAGCTTTACAACGAATGCGAATTGTTAACTATTACATTAAATAATAAACCATAAGATATGGAAACTATGTAAAAATAATGAATAATAAACACTGGAATGACAAATCTTTCTAAGTTTTTGTTTGCACATACCCATTCGCCAATAGACGTATTTGCAGTTGATCGCTCGAAGATTGTACAGCATGCTAGAGTGACTGTTAGTCATTAGTTTAGCTATAACTGTCGCTTGATTTAGACTACTAATCGACTCGACTTATAATCAGCAATTTGCAAATTGTTGAATGTTTCAGAAAGCAAAGCGAAGGAACGATGCCAGCAGCCGGCGTCAAAGGCGCTGCAGCCGTACGTGCGTCTGAGCCCGCTGCCGTCGGCGTCGAGGCGCGTCATTGGCCACAAGTGCAGCAAATGCAGCCAGACGTTCAAGTGGAAGGAGAGCCTGTACCGGCATCTGGAGGAGGAGTGCAGCGGGAGACCGAGCCTCGCGCGCGACAGCGACAAAGCGAGAGCGCCACCGTCGGCAAGCAGCAAGGGCCGGCACCAGTGCCCGACCTGCGGCAAGACCTACAAGAGCCGGGGCTTCTTCGACGCCCACGTGAGGAAGGTGTGCGGCCCAGCGAACGAGGCGAGTCGCGCGATCCAGGGCAGCGCCTGGAACTTCAAGTCGGACCACAAGTGCGCGACCTGCAGCCGGATCTTCACCTCCAAGCGCTACCTCCACCAGCACATCTACCGCGTGCACGAGACGCACGGCTACTTTTGCGAGCACTGCGGCCACGCCGCCAAGGCCAAGTCGCGTCTCGCCAGGCACATCGAGGCCAAGCACGGCGCGCGCGAGCCACCGCGGGCCGCCTGCCGCCGCGGGCGCCGCTCGCCGGCGGAGTCGGCGGCCCTCCGCTGCGAGCACTGCGCACGGCGCTACGGCAGCAAGGCTCGCCTGGCGCGCCACATCCAGGCCGAGCACGAGGTGGTGTGCCGCGAGGGCCCCGCGTCCGCCAACAGCCTGCGCGCGCGCGCCGACCTCCCGGGCTTCGTCTGCGACCACTGCGGCCTCGCCAGCCAGGACAAGCCCACGCTCGCGCTCCACATCGCCCGCGAGCACGCCGACGCCCGGACGAACGTCTGGTGCTCGCGCGAGCGCCTCCTCCTCTGCCACCACTGCGGCTACGCCTGCGAGCTCAAGGACCACCTGGTCGCGCACATAAGGGCCGGGCACAGCGTTCCCAAGTAGTCCCAAGCATCTATGTCTTGCTTTGCAAATATTATGTCTGCTGCTAATTCTAAGTTGCCGTCTAGCCTGGCCAAATCCATGAAGCATCGAGGCGACTCTTGTGCTCCGAGATTGTCTATCGCCGAAGCCGACGTATAATGAGATTGCTCTGCACCAGATTTTTCATTAAATGCTTATTATTTTATTAGTCTTTGTGAACGTCAGCTCTGTCCACTCAGCGGTCCAGAATTATAACTGCAAGTATTACGCAAATTTTACAGCGCAAAAGTTGTATTTCTTCACTCGATCGCAACAAAACATTTCTTCGTACTGTGTGTGACATTGTAATTGTGAGTGTTGTGCCCGAATGAAATCCATTCTATCGCATAAAACCTTTGTATCGTAATTTCAAATAAAGTAAGATATCGTTAGTAAATGGCTTCCGAAACTCAGTAGCGTCGTCATATTTGTTCCGATCACTTCATTTTATTTACAAGTACAGAAGTTATCCTATAAAAAAGCAGTCGGAACTTCTCGAAGCCTTCGTCAAATTTACTCTCGCAGCGCTCAACAGCAACCCACCGTCACGCGTACCAAAACAATGTTCTCCTCGAATGATACCTAATATATAATTTTATAAGCATATTGAAAGCGTCGATTTTGTTCGAAGAGCGCGACGAGATGTTGTGCCGAGTCTCCGACGTCGGTCTTGCATCCTCAGCGTCGACAAGTTTCACCCGTTGACTAAATGACGGAAACAGTGCCCGGTGACTTTATGGATGTTTGACGAATCACTCTCCTGAGCTCTTTGCTGTTTCGCCGATTTCCCGTCTAATTATTTGTATCTACTTGTGAATCGAGAAGCCCAATCGAATTTTACATTTTTATTTTGTCTGCTACGTTCTCCTATAATTCGGCATTCAGGAAAGCATTGTTTTGCATGTCAACGCGATCGCGTAAACATGTCGACTCTGTACGCATGAAAAGTAATTTTTCACGAACGTAGTTTACTCGCTGGTTATTCTATAAAGCTATCAGGATCAAGTCATTTCCAAAATGAATAAATAATGTTTATTAATAATAATTTTCCAAACTTTTATTTATTTATTTTTGTACTTGCCCATGATTGTGTGCAACAATACGAAATGAGAATTCTAATGCTGTGTACTTAGTCAATCCACACTGTAGCTTTTCGCATTCGTCGACTTTACATGACCTTATAAAAAGATCTACCCCCTCCCCTCACCCTTTTTTATCGAAAGCTTTTTTGCCGTTTGTTAAACCTCATAAAATATCGACTTCAAATGTCATTAAATGTTATATAGCTTAATTTGTAAGCAACTGAGTTTGCGCTAATTAATCACAGCTGACAAAATTTATAATATCGCGTGCTTGATCTAATCACTTTTCAATAGGAAATTAAATACAAGTTTTGTATGTGAATTAGAGGGTTAAATAAATCCTGAAATACCTGATTCGTAATTACAATTAAATAGCAGCTTGAATATATTCTTATTAGTATACTTTCCATCGATTTTCATGGCAAAAATGCCAACGGAGATTGGTTGAGCTTAGTATCCGTAGGTTGACATAGCTAATAAATACAATAAAGAGGAAGAGCGAAGACAGTCGTCACGTTAGATTTGATTTCAAAGAGAAATAAATCACACTGAAATGCTCAAGTCACTTTGAATTGATGAATAGTACAAGGTTGTCAAATGTAGTTTCGATGAAATGCGCGAAAGCCGTCGTAAAGAAAAGAACGTCGTTCATTCACCTGACCATAGTTTTAATGAGACTGCTGGGCTTGCAGCCTGCCACTGGCAGAGTGGAAATAGTACATTACGATACAAGTGCGTATCGTAATGTACTATTTCCAAATTATTACTAAGCGCCGGCCTATAGATAATGACGTACAACGAAATTTTTCAGTTATGCAAGACCCAACGGTAATGACTAATTGTTTTTTTATTATTATACACTATAATGAATTATCGATTGAACTGCGCGGAAAGTAACCTTCATTGTACCGGTGCTAACTTTGATGTAACGGAATTCCTGAAGATGATAATATTTCTTCTTAATCGGCGAAGAGTCGTACAACCAAATATATTCTATCCCAAGATTTATATGAACGTTGTTAGCCAATGTGTCGCTTGGAATTATCTACTCCTTTTGGTATTTGGTTGGCGCGACAGGTCTCCCGTTTATCGTAAATATGCATATTGCACTTTTCTAAATACATGTAATTACGTAACCACAGATGAGAATACCGATGGGATCCGTAAAACCTTTTTATGAAACCTTTGCTTCTGCTCGTTGCGAATATTGTTTGTGAGTCCTACCCTACATTTTTCAAAGTATTGCTGTTTTTTCCACGATACATTTCTATTTTTCTCACGATGGGCACATAGGTTACAGCAACATTCTAACACCAATTTCAGAGCTTTAATCTTCGCATCAGCGTGTCCGTACAACTATACTTGTACTCAGTGTCTGCAAGGTCTACCCACTTACCCATGAAACCTTAGCATCGGTCAAAAATGATATCATTAAGGTTACTTTTTCCAGCCCAGAGTAGTGATTTACAATAATTTTCATTTTAATAGATGCTAAAAACTTCGGGTTCCTACTTCATGGTGGTATGTAAATTCATCGAGTAGATATTAAAATGGTTGGAAAAGTTTCTGATTGAAGTTTGTTTTACTTTTCATCTCACTTCATATCACAGCTATCATTAGAATGGTATTTTATCGCCATATATAATTTAAAAAATACATTTTCTGCAAAAAAATGTATCTGGAAAACGTCGATTTTTTTTATTTGTCTATTTAAGGGGACCAGAGGGTGTTTCGTAGTGAAAAATTAACACTTTGTTTATTGCCGCGTAGAAATCATTCTACTGAAGATATCGATGTAGGACTTTTTTCAGCTGAAAGTATTCTATATAAGCTTTCATTTTCTTTGTTATAAGTTCCAGAATAATCATTGTACACCTAATATGGACACAACAAAGACCAAGCTCTATTTTTCAAAAAATGGGGCTTTGCCACGCCTTTCTGAACGCCAGAGTGGACAAAAATCGTTTTGTGAGAGCTCATTTTTTTTGTTATGAACCGGACTACAGAATGAGCGGAGCACTTTTATAAAAAAGATAATTCTTCCTATTTTTTGAGGATAATTTGCAAAAAAAATTTTTTTGAAAAATTAAAATTTCATATATTGGCTCAAAAAAATAGGAAGAATTATCTTTTTTATAAAAGTGCTCCGCTCATTCTGTAGTCCGGTTCATAACAAAAAAAATGAGCTCTCACAAAACGATTTTTGTCTACTCTGGCGTTCAGAAAGGCGTGGCAAAGCCCCATTTTTTGAAAAATAGAGCTTGGTCTTTGTTGTGTCCATATTAGGTGTACAATGATTATTCTGGAACTTATAACAAAGAAAATGAAAGCTTATATAGAATACTTTCAGCTGAAAAAAGTCCTACATCGATATCTTCAGTAGAATGATTTCTACGCGGCAATAAACAAAGTGTTAATTTTTCACTACGAAACACCCTCTGGTCCCCTTAAGCGATAGCCGTTTAACCACGGATCGCTACTCACTTTAATTTTGTAAAATATATAAATTTCCAAAACACAAATTAATTTATTTCGAGGATGAGCTTCAAATTTTAGGCGAAGACTAAGCCCTCGCTAACAAGACTTGTAATTGACAAAACTTTCCATTGAATAATCAGCTATTAATTTATATTAATTCTAGCTTCAAGTACTTAATCAGACAAATTTTCAAGAAATCATATAACAATTTGGTTCATCAATGACGATTAGAAGGTCAAGGCAAGATCAATGTGCCTCACTTTCAATTTGAAATAAACTAAATGATGAATATATTGAATTCAGATGTTGTGTATCTAGGTTTTTTGCTAGGATAGCGATAATTAATGACATAGTCTTGCATAAGTAAGACAATATGGCCAATGGCCAATCAATTAGGTGTCAGCACAAGACATACTGTTGTCATTTTGTATTTAATCCTAAGAGAACATGGAAGAGATTGAAACAGTTAATAGTCACTTTACGTCGATGACAAATTTAAAAGTTTTGATTGTAGTTTTCCAAAAATTTACATTATAATATAAAAATATACAATATATTATGCATGCTCTCGAAATATTATACGTAATTTGAGATAATGTCCATTTTTGACAAAATTTAATGCAAAATTCAACATTATATTCAATTTGATAAAATTTTATGTGTACAACAACTACATTCACGTAATTATTAGCCACGAAACAAATAAGTAATCAGTTGGTTTATCTATGAAACTTTATCAAATTAAACATAATTTCGAATTATAAATATAATAATAACAGCTAACAATAATAACTTTCCTTCAGCATCCGCATTGAGTCAGTAACAGTACAGTGATTCAAATTCTTCGTAGCTCATATCATCAAATACTAATGAACGCGTTGGCTATCTATATAACACCGACACTAGATCTGTTCTTAACGAGAAATTAAATGTCAATTTGGCGTAGTAATAATCATTTGTAGGCCAAGTTGACAGAGAAATGTCAGGCTCCTAATCAGGAGCGAATAGCAGCTTAAATTTATTTCAAGACAGCTCGTATCGCACGTTTTGTATCGAGGTTCGTTGAAAAAAATGTTGACGCCGTCAAAGTCAGTCGAGAAATAAAAGTGATAGAAGCATAGCATTTCCTTCTGATATAATATTTTTTCTTGACGAAATAAATCTTTCCCGTAAGGATTTGTCGCTACTGGGACCGAATTTCTCAATTCGATCGTACTGCACTAATTAGCTATGGGTATATGAGGGGCTATTATTACTATGAGAGGCTGTTTTCTTCAATCAGCAACATAATTACTTGAAACTGCGGAAACGACGTTAAACGAACGCGAGCATAATGTAACACGAAAGCAACGAGTTAAATGTAATCATTACAAGATCCTGATTTTGCGATCGCTGAGGAATTTCGTATTCTGTCTGTCGAACAAACGGCTGACTTCACTGGAGAGTCCCAGGCCGTTGGCAAAGCACAGCGAGAGGTCAGCGCTCCTCACGCCTTGAATCAGTGAAAATGAGTGCGATAGCAGCGTTTGAAAGACCGCGCCCTCGAGCAGAATGTTGTAGAGTGACACATTACGCATCTATCGCATTAATAATAAAAGGGAATAAATATATAACGTATGCGCGTCTGTTTTTCCACGTCTGCTGTTTTGAAAAAAGCAATGAAACGATTTATCAATGTGTACTTCCGGATACGATATTCGTGAGCAACCACTTCAGCTTCACACGTTATCAGCCTCCTCCTCTACACATAAATGTCTCACACTTATTTCGAGGTTCTTTAATTATGCCTGAAGTATAATTAGATTAATTCAATTTTAGATCATCTGATCCACCCCGCACTTCTAAGATATGTTTGTTTTTAATTTGTCTACAACATAAAATTAAGTTTAAAAGAACCGTCAAGAGAGTATACAAAATTTGCACGCTGTAATTACCAATAATTTGGAAACGGCGCAGTAGGTCAATATAAAACTTTACACCGCGCTTAATCTTGATATAAAAAGTTTGAATCGATTCTAGTACATGTCTGCGAATTCTCTCGAAAGCCACGAAGAGTGCTTCGACACTGCATTAGTGAAGCGACGTTAGTTACAGCAGTAGGAGAAAGCTGTTATTAAAAATTGTTCTCGTTCAAGTATGCAACCTTCTTCCTGAATTTCTAATTAACGTGTGGGTTTTTGGGTGCTGTTTTCACTGTTAATGCCGAGAGGTAGATTTTTTTTGAGGAACTAATTTAAACGAAATTTCGCGACGAACAAAATAACTCTATAGAACGATCGTTTTCTCACAGGGTCATCGATGCAATTTCGTTCAGCGTGGCCACAAAATCGATAAATAAAAATCATGATCGAGAGTACGAAATCAATCAAATTGACGATAATACTGATGCGAGCGATGGGCTTATGGTACAGCTCTAGCAAATTAGAAAAGTTTGTATCCAATCTCATGTTGTCTCTGGTGCTCGCGCTGATGATCTTCTCGGTTTACATTCAGAGCCTAGAGCTGTTCTTCTCCAGAAACAGTATCACGGTATTAAAAGAAACTAGCACTATTGATAATTTTAATTTCACTTCATATTTATCGATTCAAATTATCTAGTTGATAACGTTTGTTGCACCTCCCGCTGCGGTCGTTATAACGGAGACTTCCAAACTGATAGTGTTCGTCTCTAAAAGAGAAAAAGTGTCAAAACTGAACAAGCTCGTCGACCATGATTTCTGGAAAAAATCTTACACCAGAGAAGAGGAACAAATTTTCAACGATTGCAACAATTTCTGCTTCAAATCGATCACCACATGCGTACTTTTTATGTCAGGCACTTGCTCTAATTACATAATTTCACCAATAATTGGTTCGTACCCCAAATCATAATGTTTTCGATTGCTAAAATTATTGATTTGATTATTGGATCTGAACCTTTGAAAGGAATGATAACGAATAGTACTGGTAAAAGGGAATTTCCATTTCCAATAAGATTCCACGACGGGGCGTACGAAAGCCCATTGTTTGAATTGTTTTTTGTGCTGGAGGTAGGAAAAATTAACGCAAACGTCCGATCGATGAATATCAACTTGACATAATGCAACTTCACGTGCAGTTTTTAGCTACACTAGCCGTTGGTCTCTGTATCTCAACCTTCACGTGTTACTCGTTCGTCATAAATTTATTCACAGCAACGCAGTTCCGAATTCTCAATTTGAACTTGCAGTCGCTTTGTGATTTCGACGAGAATTGCAAGGAAACTGAGAGAGATAAATATCAGTTGGAAGCGTTGCAAAAACTTAGGAATCACATTAGAAGACATCAACTACTTATTGGCATGACGAAAGAGATCGAAGATCTGTATTGTTACGTAATGTTGGAGCAGATATTTGGTTCCGTTTCGCAAACTTGCTTTCTCGGTATACAAATACTGTTGGTAGGTTTCGCATGCAAATTTATCGAAATGATTTAATTATAATAATGACGCTTACCTTCTGCCAAAGGTAAAGTCTACGTACCAACGCTCATTCTTGGCTGTGATTTTCCTTTTGAGCAGCTTCATACAGCTTTACTTCTACAGCTATTCTTCCGAGGCAGTTTTCGAAGCGAGCCAAGACGTCTCCCAAGCAATAAGTATTACAAAGTGGTTCAAAATTACCCATCCGAAAGTTCGCAAGGAGTTCAAGCAGCTGATGATGATCGTGGCGATCAGAGCAAGAAGGCCGTGCATTCTTACTGTCGGCAAATTTTATCCTCTGTCGGTGTCTACTTTTACCTCGGTAAGTTTTTTTTCATATCTTTCTTTCGCTTATGTATTTCCGAATTACTTCTACCCTTTTCTCTAGGTAATAGGGTCATCGATGTCTTACTTCACGATTCTACGTAAACTTATGTAGAATAACATTTAGAAGAGATTTCCCACGTTTCATAGTCCTTTTACCAAGAAAAAGCATACAGTTGCGACGAGAATATACAAATAAATAATCCTAGTCGAAATAATAATAAAATGTCTTGTATTTTTAATACAGTTCAAAATTAAATTTAATACGAAAATTATAAACTAATTTAAAGGGATACTAAATTTAAACGTCTGCCTACGTCCTAATATTTTGATAAATATTGATGTATGAAAACAACAGAGATCAATGATTCTGAATGTCACGGTCATAGGCGGCAAAGTTTCGTAAAGGAGGCCAAAGTCAAAGTATTTAATAATTTTGCCGAATCTATTAAATCCAATGTATTCGAAAGTTTGTTAGAACTCAATCAACCACAAACGTGACATTGGAAAATTCATTGCCGTTCAACCTGTAACGATATAATTCGTCTGCTTGAGGTTGTAGTTATACATCGAACGTTTTTCTGCGCACAATCGTTTCGTAATAAGGATTACTACGAACCACCAATTGTAACACGATTGATAGAGTAGTAAACATATGCTCCAGCAAATAATGCACGTTACAGACATTTGCACACTTCGTAAGTCAGGTTGTCAGTCTCGAATAAAAACATATAAGCATGAGAAGATGGATGAAACAAGTTGCAATGAAAAAATGTTTGGTAGAAGTCGTGCCAACGAGCCTAAGGTCGATCAAATTGACGAAAGCGCTGATGCGAGCGACGGGCTTGTGGCACTCGTCGAGCAAATCAAGCGGCCTCTGGTCCAACGTCGTGTTGGCTTTAGTATTGCTGCTGATGATTTACTCGGTGTTCGTGCAGGCTCAAGAGCTGATCTACGCCGGGAGCAGCATCACGGTAGGTCTGCAACGAACGCTCGATACTGCGCGAGCCTCTTCGCTGCCATAATCAATATATTATGTCGCAGGCGATCACTTTCGCGGCGCCCGTGGCGACGGTGGTCGTCACGGAATCCTCGAAACTCGTGGTCTTCATAGCGAAGCGTAGGAAAATGGTAAATCTGAACAAATTCGTGGACAGCCAGTTCTGGAAGAAGATCTACAGCGACGAGGAGTTGGTGATTTTCAACGACTGCGATCGGATGTGCTTCAGGCTGATAGGCATCTACTGCACACTGTTGTTGGGTACTTGCTCCATGTATTTGATTCTGCCTATAATCGGTTGGTGCCCATATGTGTACGTCGACTAGACGCGTTGGCGTTTATAATTCACTTGCGCATTATGTCGTTGCACGCTCGAAGGCATGGACACGGAGCTCAGTCCACAACGAGAATTGCCCTTTCCAATGCGAATCGCATCGCCGCTGTACGAAAGCCCTTACTACGAAATGTACTTCGCCTTGGAGGTACGTCAAAATGTTAGCGCGTTAGCCAACCAACTACGGCTGTGCGAAAAACTATGTTCCGTTCGCAGATAGTGGGTACTTTAACCGTCGGTCTGTGCGTCTCCACCTTCGCGAGCTACCAATTCGCCGTCAATTTGTTCACCGCCGTGCAATTCAAGATTCTCAACACGCACTTGACGTCACTTTGCGACTTCGAAGACGACGCGAGGGATGAACGAAACACCGAACGCCAGATGAAGGCTTTGACGAAGCTCAAAGGTTTGATCACCACGCACCAAACGCTCATTGATTTGACCAAGCAGATCGAGGACTTGTGCTGCTACGTGATGCTCGAGCAGGTGTTCGGCTCGACTTCGCAGATCTGCTTCTGCGGCTTGCAGATTCTACTGGTATGAGAACCTCCATCTCGCAATTGTTAAAGTCATTATGACAAATGCATTATTACCGAAATTCCCGATGAAAGGCCAAGTCAACGCTAACCCGCACCGTCCTGAGCGTGGAATTTTTGCTGAGCAGCGTGCTGCAACTTTACTTCTACTGCTACTCTTCGCACATGATTTTCGAGGCGAGCGAGAGCGTTTCTCAAGCTATCTACTCGATGAAGTGGTTCAAAATCACGGATCCTAAGCTGCACAAAGAGTTCCGCCAACTGCTGCTGATCATCAGCATGAGAGCACGGCGACCCTGCGTCCTCACCGTTGGCAAATTTTATCCCCTCACGCTGGCGGCTTTCAGCTCGGTAGGGCGAAAATTCATTGATGCCTCTCGCGAGGAAAGCCATTGCCTTTAATCGTCATTTTTCTCTCGATTCCAAGGTTCTCAGTACATCGATGTCTTATTTCACAGTGCTGCGACAGCTTTTGTACAATCAATAGAGCTCATCCCATCAAAAGTGTTTTGGTATTTTTCCATGTTATCTTTGTAATTCGTCAGCTTGAGCAAAATACAGCACCGGAAACCTCGTGACTTTGTAATTGTTAATGTTGATAATCTGAAAAGCAGTAATTTCTCTTTTTTTTATTTCAATAGATTCGTTATAAAGCACTAGAAAAAATACTGTTGGAATACAGGTTAATGATTCTTTATATGATATTCGGACTGCTGTTTTTTTTTCAATAAATGCAAACAAACGGATTGTTTGTGGCGTCAATTAAAAAGAAATAAAATTGAATTACATTCTTTCGCCTTCCATTATCTGATTAATTCGTTAATCAACGCTAAAGTACAATTTTAAAACTTTCAAATACACCTATGTGCATGCGTATGAAATAATTAAAACCAAATCTCACACACACACACATACATAAGTGCTGTTATCAAATTTCTGTTGCCGCACCGCACTTTTTCACGAAATCAACTAATGCAAAAAGCACTCACGCATGCAATTCGTTTGCTGCTAAAAAGCGCGTCCAAAAGTAATTGCTTTGTTTTATCGATGAAAAAAAAGTCGATACAACCTGCGAAATTACGCGACATCGAATCCGATTTCAAAGCCGGTGAGAATGAACATCTACTTCCTTGACTCCGTGTTTAAGTAGAAATAACAGGAGTTCAAGCATAAAAGTATCCCAGTTGTGTCGGAAGTTGAATATTGGCCGACGCCGTCGCCGTCAAGATTATACGGAAGCAGTTTGCCGAGTTTCTTGAAAGGCGAACGCTATCAATTATGTCGTTGCCATCTTAAATCTCTCCGCAATTGTCTGTGCTATCGGCGGGCTCAACTTTCAATTCATCTCCGTCATCGCCGTCTTCTCCATATAATGCAATAAATAACTGGAACGTTTCTGAAGATTATTTAACATCAATCAGTAATGCACCGAGTGGATCCATCGTGAAAGTATGGGACGCACAAAACAGTCGGTTCGTTATTCGCGAATTGCCTCTTGTCGCATTTGAATAACCGAGATAAGAATAAAGACAATCGATCTCCATTTATCAAGAAAGGCCAAAGTCTTCTCAAAGTTTCTACCGAAAGCTTTATTATTCAAAGCTTTACTACAAGAAACCTTACAAGAGTATACTCTTACTGAAGATGGAAAAATTTCAATAATTTGCTATCTATTTCAGATACAAGTGACGTTGACGTACAACTTTTGTAAAAAGGAAAGTTATGATTTCTATTTAGGGAAGAAATGATAGAGCTAGAAGTATATAAGCATATCAATACAATGCAGCTTAAATCGCGTAAGTTTTAGATTTAATTAAAGTTACTTCTTCGAATTATAGTACTTTTTACAAAGCGGAATAAAACTATGATATGCAGTTCAAAATTTTTAAGATAAATTTTGTGTATTAGTTTTGATATTGGTATAATTATCGTTTACAGAGAACTATACTACACACCAAGGCTACTAGTCAACCCATGAATTTCCATTGTAAGATTGTTTTCAATGATTCATTTACTCATTAATCATCATCTGCTTTTACTAAGAAGCTGACTGCTTTCTTATCACATTTTATAAATTTTTTTATCAAATTTCATAAAATTTTACCTAAATTTTATAAAATTTTAACAAATTTTATCGAATTTTAACAAATTTTATCGAATTTTATAAAATCCACCTCATATGATGTATTATTTACCACGATCACTGTTTGTTCAGATGGCAGTGGGTCACCCTGTCCAAATACCATGTTCAATGTCTATGCCACCTCCAGGATTTCTACGGAAAATCAACCACAAACTCGATATGTTACTGTGCAGACACAATGCACCTATACATGGACTTACAGTGATTAAGTTTAACATGGATTATAATTAGAATTTTAATAGCTTCTAGTTTTTATAGTACTTTTTAAAAAGAAGTAGACTATGATGCTAATTAGATTTTTTATTTTATAAAAGTATCTCTTAAATGAGACTAGACAATCAAACTGGAAACTAAATTAACCATTAATTTTTATGAATCTTTAATGGTTTTGTATTATAGTATTTTCAATTATTATTTTTCTTTATTTTTATTCACACGTTTCTCTATAGAAAGAATCATATAAATAAAAATGTCTTACTACAGTATTTAACTTATATTTAACTTATTGAATTAAGCTTACATTTTTAATAGTTGTATTTTTCGTTTGTAATTTATAAAATATTACTTAAGTTATGTGTTTAAATTTTGAGTTCTGACATAATCTTTTGAGTCTGACATATTCATTGAAAATATTTGTATGTTTGTTGGGCATGTAAAAATTATGTAACTAAAACTTTGTGTTTAAAATAAAAACTGACTTTTCATTAATGACTGTGTTATAGAATTTTTATAATATTTGTTACCTGTTATAATTTATAAACCATTATTCTAATCTTATAAATTACAATTGCTCACGTAATGTGTTTGTTTATTGCATATGTATAAATGACATAACCAGAGAAATTAAGTTTTAGTCTCAAATGTCATTTTCGGCAACTTGAATTTTTTGTTTTATTGATTAGTATATGGATTGATCAAAAAGGCTGGATTTCTTATTACAAAGACTGTGATTGTACATGCTCAGTGTGTAAATATAATTTAATAGAATTTTGCTCCTAGACAGAAAGATACACCTTTATTAATTGATTGAAAATATATACAGTACATCGACGAGCCGTGCAGCTTGAAGCGTACGCTTAGAAAAGTTGATTTTTGTGCAATGAGCTTTTACACCACTTAAAGCTTCAATTAGTAATTAAATAAACTAATTACAAACAATAAGCTAATACAAATAGTAAAGAGCTAGTTTACATTAATTCATAATTAATACTTCGTAGAATAATTTGTACTTGTAAATTATAAACTATAAAAAATTACAATTAAGTTTCTTGCTTAAATGAATGAATAAATAAATAAATAACATACATACATACATATATACAAATTCAAATTTCAAAATAAATACCTTCAAAATAATACACTTAATGGCTATGAGTTCATTTCACAAAATTTGGAAGTAGAGCGCCTGGCAGTAATTTGAATTATTTTATTTCATTATTTTCTTCAGCAGTTGGACGAATTTGAATTAAAAAATTAGCAAAGTCTATAGAAATATTAAAATTAAATAATAATTATATTACTATTTTCCTTGAATAAAAATATAAATCTATAGAAATTACATAAAGTATTATGCATAGAATTCAGTAAGATTAAAATTGTCATAAATGCATTGTGCTAATTATTTACTTTTAATTTTTTAAACATTTTTTTGATATTCGAACTACAGTTAAATTCATTTTTTTTTTACTGAATCAAGAATGAATTAATGTATAATTTTCATTTTAAGGATTGTTTCTCTCATTATAATCTGTTAAAAAAGGGAACGAGGTAGAAATAGCTCTAAAACTATTATATCTATTTTCACTTTAAAAAGTTTTATAACTGGCTCCTATTTACTTGAGATGGAAGAAATAATTGCTCATTTGGCAAAATTCAAATATTACCTACAGCTTTACAATACACATTAAGAAAATTAAATTGCTCTGTAGAAAATTACTAGATTTTTGCGGTTAACGTTTTTTAGATGCATTTCTATCATGCATGTAATTCTTTTTCTTCAAAAATGACTGCAATTACTCGTAATATACAAAGTGTAAATTGATAAATTTCCCGAATTGTAACAGTTATAAAGGAAAAACAGGATTTTCCATGACAAAGCGGTGAGAACCCTTCACAAGAGCTTGTCAAGCTATGTATGTACAATGAAGAAAGGAAAGAATAAAATACCGTAATATCCACCATGTTTCCGTTAGAAATCAATGTGACTATAGCCGCTAAACATTATCACAATGTAACAACGATTGACTTATCTCTTATATGCTATATTACAAATCGATATGATAAAAAAAAATACCCGACCGATAATCTTAGCGTAAATGGTAAATTTACATCAGCTTACGTCTTCAATACACACAACATTGTGGATCACAATCATACAAAAATCTCTTTTCCCAACACTTTTCACAACAAAATAAATCGTAAATTTACCATTAACACGAGTCGGTTCAAGGACTTGTAAGATCTTGTAATGTGCCTAGAATATTATCGAGTTCTTGTCGATAGTAACACGATTGTGGTTTGTCTCCAACGTTACTGGCACTTTTGCAATCTTTGCAGCCTTGATTTCTGCTACGTAGAAGATCACGGACGAGCTTTTGCAAGCTCAATTCGCGAGTCTCATGGCGCTGCTGGAGTAATGTAATTTTATCTTGCAGAACCTCGAGCTGCTGATAACTCTGTGAAAAGAAGATAATCATTATCAAATTATTAGTATAGTTACTTATTGTAGTTTGAATTTCAAGAACTAACACGTACTGGTGTCGACAAATACTTGACTTTTTCGTTGAGCATTCTATTTTTGCCTTCTAAATGATCTCGTTCGGCTTTTAGAATGATAACTTGCTCTTCATAATCTTGTAATTTTTCTATTTGTTGTTTGAGATGAGATATCATTGCCAGTTGTGAATTGACTTGACCCTTTAAAAGTAAAATATTCTTTTATGAATACTAAAACATTCACTCATGAATGCTAAAGTTTAATTTAAAGATAAAAAAATAAACCAACCTGCAACTTTAGAGCTTTCATATCACCAGCTTTTAAACTGTATTCTTTAACAATAAGTTCAATTTCTTTTTCATGTTCCTCCTGCAGTATGTTTAAATCATGTAGTCTCTTATTTTTCAGCGACGCAAAATCTTTGTTGATCCGACAGAGTTCTTCTTTTAGCACATCATTCTCATTGGCTAACTTCTTCAGTTGTGCAATTACTTCGGTACCTTCAGGATCATAGAGTTTCTGCGCGGAAGATGAAAACTTCTTATAATTAGACAATCCATTTTGATAGAAATTCGAGTTCTTTTGGTCTTCTAGATTTTTCAAACTCGAAAGCTTCGAGTCAGATGAAGTCATCACTTTGTTTATTTTTTCAAGATTCTTACGCTCGTTGAGCAACTTCTCACGTTCTTTCTGCAATTTACGATTTGTTTTTTGTAGTTCGCTCAACTCTTTCGACACTTTTGTAATGATTTTTTCTTTGCTTGCAAGCTCAAGTTTCAAACCACGAATAGTTGCTAATAAATGTGTATCTTCTTTGGCATTCTGTGATTTTGGTCCAGGTTTGTTATTATTCAACCTCTCAGCGAGATTTGGCTCGGATCCGCGATGCTCCAATAAACGTTGAGGAATTGTTTGGGTACCCATATCGCTGCAGACTATTTTCTCTCTTGGTGTGGGGATTTTGAGTTTCTGCTCAAGGTCTGACACTTGGTTCGAATACTTCTCTTTCATATCCGAAAACTTTCGTTGAATGTCAGATAATTTCACCTGTGCCATGTCTTCGTTTGCTATAATTTCGCTTTCTAAAAATGCAATTCTATCCTCGAGAAGCTTTACTTTTTCACAATTGAGCTTTTCGTTCTCTGAGTTCGCGGTGAGAATCAAAGCTGAAACTGAATCTGGATTCTTACGTTTTAAGATTCTTTCCATTTCACGAACTTGCCTAGTCAGATCAATTATGTTCTTGTTATCTATGATTACTTGGTTCTTTAATTTTTGCGTCAACTCTTTCTCACGATCACAGTTATTTTTTGCAGTCTGAAATATAGATTTCCATTTTATAATAAGCAAATTACATTTCCAATAAAAATAAAACTCCATTAATTACCTGTAATTTATCCTGGTAATATGAACACTTTGTTCTTAAATCTAAAAGTTCCTTTTCCAATGGATCGACAGTCTCCTGAAACCTCTCATAATCCTGCTTGATTAATTTAAGTTGCTCGGTCTTGGAATGCAATTCTGAATTTAATTCCTCAACTTGTTTCCTCAGCGCTAACTCATTGGTCGTCATGACTTGTAACCTATCGTTGATGTAATCATTCTTTGCCCTCAACTGATCCTTAATCATTTCAAGTTCCTCTTGCAATAATGAATTTTGATGTACGACATCCTCGTTTTTCAATGTGATATCACTGTTTTTCTGTTTTAACTCTTCATTCTCGATATTGAGCTTTACATTGTCTTCTTGTAGGTCTTTCAGTTTTTCAAACAATTCGTGATTACTACTCACATTATCGGCCGCAATTACTTTGGTTTTCGACTGACTGACAGTTTTCAATTCATTTTGCAGACGCTTCGTTTCTTGAAGCAGTCGTTTGTTCTCCATCTCATAAGCGCGTATCGTGTTCTCTTGACGTTGGAGGTCTTTCTGCATACACATTATTTTAGGATCGTACTTGATTCTAGCATCTGCTGTCTTTTTATTTATGACTACAAGCTCATCGACTTTAGCTTTGAGGAGAATATTTTGTTTCTTCAACGAAAACATCTCTTGTTCGTAGAGTAACTGCACATCTTTCAGCTTGGACTTATACGTTTCAATCTCAGCTTCAAGTTCATCCTTGAGGTGTATAAACCTCTGTCTTTCTTCTTGATACAACATTTCCAATGTTTCTCCACCATAGATTGCACTGTAGTCTCCACCACCTAGACAACTTGTTGGAGTTTCTTCATATCTTATTTGATTGCCCCTAACATCGAGAGAAAATTCATTTTGATGAACTGAAAATTTAAATTACATTAGTTATAAATAAAAATCAGAAAAAAAGAAAAACTATTTAATTGATACTTACGTCGCCTAGGACCTTTGGGTGTAATTTTAGTTTTGGGATTGACTTTCGTCACGGTTCTCGATTGTATTTTCGGTTTTGGCGCTGGAATTTTTTTTGGCGGTGTTAGAAGAACTGGTTTTCTAGTTTCAACAATCTTTCCTGTTCTTACACTTTCGAGTGACGAACCAAGTTTATTAGTGGAAGATTTAGAAAGTTGATCATAGCTTTTTGATTTTCCTATGTGAACATCACCCTTTGGAATGTTTTTGTCCGGAGCATTCGTGATTCTCTCAGTCTTCATTTGTTCACTGGATTTTTTAAGACCAGTGTATGTTGTATTGCTTTGGAAGTAATTGTAATCACGCAATTCCCTTCGGTAATCTAACATTTGGTTGTCTTGGAGATTAATGAGATCGTAATCTTTCACGTCTTTCACGTTTTTGTGATCGTTTAAAACCTCCGTGTATTTAATAGCTTCGAGAGCTTTGAAATTCTTAAAACTAAAGTCTTCATTATCGTCTGATTTAGGTGTCGCTTGTTTGCTAAATTCACTCTTCGTTTCCTCATCTTTTCTTGCACTTGCCTCGTTCGACTTTTCAGCCAGTAACTTTGGAATGGCATCTGCGAATAATTCTAGTCTAGGAGTCAGTCCAACTGTATATAGCTCGTTTTTGTCATTAATCACCTTTTTAATATCCATCTGAGAACTTTTGGCACTTCCACTGCTTTTCTTAGACGAAGCTCGACTCGATTGTCGACTCGATTCTTTTCTTGCATTTTCATCTACCAGTCTGTCTACTTTTGACGTTGTCATTGAGATAGTTTGATAGTCTAATTCATACGAAACTTTTTTGGACTCTGTACTTACAACTTCTCTTTCAGCAATTTCATTTTTCTTGTTGCTCTCTGATTTTTCTTTTAAAGGGTCAAATTGATCAAGAATAACTGAGCTGGCTTTTGAAGCAGTATTCCCTTCTTTGTTACTTTGTTCTTGAAGAATCTTTAATAAGTGTGTGAAATCCTCTTGATCTAAACTTGAACTATGAGAAGAAAGTCGCTCAGCACTTTCTTTAGTTTTCTGTATCAGAACATCAAAGAAATCCTTTTCAACATCAGTAATCTCTTTCTTTATACTTTCTTTTTTTGTGTCAATTTTTTTTTCATCAACTGCACCTTCTGATGCAGAATGTTTTTCTATAGGATCATCCAAGTCTGAATTACTTGACATTTCAGCTTTCTGATCCTCTGATTTCTTTTTCTGACCCTCAGAAGACTTTTGAGTTTTTACATTTTCAAACACTACTTCAATTGACGAACTGTGACTGCTCTTATTACTTTTTGCATCACTATTTTCTTTAACCTGATCCTCTATCATCTTAAATATATTTACCTCTAATTGTCTAACTCTATTCAAACTTTCTGATACAGTTTCATCTTGATTTGATACACTAATAATCTCGTTTTTCAAAACACCTTTCAACAGATCACCACCACTCTCTTGAACCAGTTTTTCTGCTTCCTGTATCAACTCTTCCACAGAGCGTTGCTCCTCTGTCAATATTTCATCAATGCTTTTGGATTTAACATTCTCTGGAACTGGACTCAAAGTATTTGCAATTTTACTCATTTCATCCAGAATGCTACCAATGTCTTCATCAGTAGCACCTGCAAACATTATTGAAAATTATTACTTTTTCAATATAGACATAAAAAGAAACAATATGTGTTTACTAAAACTTACTCTCAAAATCAGATTGGTATTTGTCCAATTCAACTGATGTTAATAAATCTTTTATGATATCGTCATTGTCATTTTTTTCAGCTTCATCACTCTGGAATACAGGATTGGATTAATTAAATTAGAAAGTACAGGCTAAATCCTCACAATTCAGTAGCTTAGTACATAAAAACTTACTTTACACATGTTTTCTTTTTCTAAAAATTCCTTAGTAGAAGAACTCACGTCGGGAGAAAATGCAATTGTTTCCACCTTATTGATCTCATCTTTAGTTTGATGATCTGTTTCTATTTGAATTGGTGCTTTCTTCAACCACCATAGTCCTGTTTTTTGTTCTGCAGGTTTTGGTTCTGGTTCGTTTTCAGGTTTTGGCTTTTCTTTGAGTCGAATGTCATTTCCATCAAAAGTAAAACTAACTGATGATCCAAGAGTTTTCTCTTCGACTGTTGAGATCTGTATCCATAAGTCGATGAATTACACTGATTTTTCTCAAATGAAATAAACAGACACGAATCAACTCAAAATTAATACAGCTAATTTTACATTATTTATACACTAGCTATCGTGATAGACGATTAAATAACCTCTAGAATCTGCCGACTCCGAAAAACCAAAAACGACATTGAACAAAAATAATTTCGGCATAGTATTATAGATTTATCCACGATTAAAAAACTATCCTACATCGAAAATTTTCATAGGAAAAATCATTAAACTTTCAGTACTTACATCATCGTCCACTTGAGACAAGTGTTTTTCAATATCCGTCATAATAGTATTCAATTATTTCTCATTAATTCACCACGTAAACACGAAGACAACAAATAGTTAGCAGCATTCCCATGTCACTTTGAAAATGACGAAACTTTATTATTATTATTTTACTGCTCTAACTAATTGTATTGACAGAAAATGCTCTGTTTTGGAATAAATTTTGTTAGTGTTGCGCGCAGCCAGTGGCTGCGTAGTGCGGACTAACTGGCAGTTGCGCGGCGACGCGCATGTCACAATAAAAGCGGGAATATATCGATGTGATGTAGAAATAGGGAGAGGGAGGAGTGACTCATACGGGCTTTTTAGGTTTTTGTTAAGGGATTGATTTTTTTTCGATTTTGATTTTTTGGTATACGCTCTGATTATGCGGTGCAAGAAAATTGATATATAAAAGTATTGTCAAAACGTATTTAATTAAAGATAACTTTTTTGGCGCATAATTCCAAGTAAAAATTATATACCACTGGTTACACAATAGCAACTTAAATTGCTCGAATGATAAAGGTAAATTTGACTTAAATGCGTAAATCTACTCGTTCAACGTTCGGTTTCCAAACGAATACTAGAAATAGAACTTTCATCAGAATTGAATGATGATATATGACTATTTCTATAATCAATATTCACACAGCCTGTTATCGTAATCATGAATCGATAGTGGTAAAATTATACACTTCTTGGAGCGTTACACTATGATGATCCCTTCATATTATAAAAGCCAAGCCTATGATTTCTGGAAGATCTATGCAAATTTGTTTTTCATCTATGTATTTTTTTCTCCGACATGCAAGTATACGAGAACAGCCAAGTTTTTTGGTTCTCCAACGAGAAAATTATTTCCGAGCCAATTAAAAACATCGTAAAGTCATAAAAAAACGTATCTTCGCTTTTCTAAGTACTCTGAGCTCGCGAATAAACTACAGCGTACTCGCCTATTACTAATATAGATAATTCACAAGTAGCCACGGTCCGCGAAATTACAGAGTTTCTCGCGAAAATTGTAGTCGCTAAAACAGCGTAATAGCTGTAAAATGCCGTCGTTACACTATACTTTGCCACAGTACAGAAAAAGAGAATCGCGTGCGGCAGAGAGAAAAATGTGTCGCGAGACAATGAAAAAGGAAATGAAGTCGATCAACTTGACGATATTCATGATGCGCGTGTTAGGCATGTGGCCAGCATCAAATGCCAGAGACAAGTTGCGATCTGACCTGTCATTAAGAATTATGATGGTATCAATGAGCTCAGCGGTGTTGATCGAGGCTCAGGACTTGTTCTTCTCGCGCAAGGACATTCTGGTGAGTGACGAGAGGATGGAGTGCGAAGCGCAAGTAGAGAGAGCGACAATGTGTTTTCAGTTGTTGACTTACGCGGCGCCGTGCGCGGTTGTGGTGGCGACGGAATACTGGAAGCTGCTGGTGTTCGTAAGGAATCGTCAGCGGGTGATGCAGCTGAACGACTTGGTGGAGAAGAGCTTCTGGCGAATCGACTATGGCCGGGAGGAGACTGAGCTGTTCAACGTGCGCGACCGCCTGTGTTTCAAGGCAATCTTGCTTTTCGCGCTGTTGGTGCTGACCATCTGCGTGCATTACATCGTTGCGCCTGCCGTTGGTTGGTATTTCAGTCGCGATGGGTCAGAGAAGCCTTCCTTTCTTTGAATGCGATCGCCTCGCAGTTTCCATAGGAAAGAATGCGTCCGACAGAATATTGCCCTTTCCGGTTTACCTGGATTCCAGAATCTACGAGAATCCTTACTATGCGATTGCTTACGTGTTCGAGGTGAATTCACATTCGTCCACGATTCCCGTAAAAATCCACTCCGTAAATTTCGATCGCCGTAGTTCATTGGTACAATGGCGACCTGCTTCTGCGCCACGACCTTTGCCAGCTACTTCTTCGCCATGAATTTGTCGACGGCGACGCAATTGAAACTTCTCCAGCGCGAGCTTCACAACCTGTGCGAGAAGAGTCAAAGCGAAGCTCATCAAAAACTTAAAGCCTGCATACGTCGACACCAAATCATGATCACCTACGCCGACCAAGTCGAGGAGCTGTTCTGCTTCGCGATGCTCGGCCAAATGTTTGGATCCGTCACGCAAATCTGCTTTTCTGGATTTCAATTGATACTGGTGAGCACTTCGAGCGACCGATCGCGCTCCTCGATTATTACACATGGCGCGCTTAGGCAGAAGAGACGACGTTCCAACGCAAGCTGCTCAGCGTCGAGTATCTACTGGGTAGTTTTGTGCAGCTGTATTTCTACTGCTACTCGTCTCACGAGATCTTCACAGAGAGCCAGAACGTTTCAGAAGCTGCTTACTCGGCAAAGTGGTACAGGATCACCAACCCAAAACTACACAAGGATTTCGCCTTGATGTTCGAGATTATGGTTCATCGGGCGAGGAAACCATGTATTCTTACCGTTGGCAAATTTTGCCCGCTGACTTTACAGACTTACTCTTCGGTAAGTTATCGCAGTTGATTACTTCTTGAATTAACGGCAAATTGCACGTTTCGTTTGCTCAGGTTGTAAGGACGTCCATGTCTTACTTCACGGTACTACGACAGGCAGTGTAGCGATTATAGAAGAAATCGTGATGTACATACGTTAAAATACTTTACTTTTTATAGATGTATTTTTGTGTAGTCGTTGAAACGCATAAAGAATTTTCGAAGAAAAAAAATAATGATGCTCATTCCTAGTTTTAGGTTTTTTTTATTGAGCTGCTACTTATACACAACGAACTGTTGTGCATTAGATTTTAATAAGCATTATTATTCTCTCGGCAAACAAAAATCTGTTCACAATCTGTGAAATATACGAAAATTTATTTTTATCTTCCTATAAAAGAAAATATTCGAACGTTTATAAGCTAATCGTAACCAATAGAACGACAGTCAGTCGCAGTAAAATATATAACTTCAGAACTATGAAGGTATCACACTTACAAACTATCGTCTCGTTCAATTATAAAATCTCCCGGATAAGCTCTCTTTTCCAATAAGTTACACCTCGTTACAACTTTGTTAAATATTCAAACTTCGAATACAACTATAAAATTAGAATGCTGAACAATATTATCCGAGTATTTTCTTCGCAAACAATGTTTTTCCAATTTTAAATGTTTATATTAATAACGAAGATGATAACAACACTCGTAAATGCCTATCAAAAATGAAGTCTGTCATAACAATATTTACATAATGAATATTGGCGTATTACAGGTATCGAGTGAATGTTAATGTATTCTATCACCCCGAGTTGCTCAATTCTCGTTATAACCATATGAAACCCTTCTATAAACGCCTTAGTTTTCTGTAATAAAAATAAAAATAAAAATGCATTAAAGAAATGTTATCGATCGCATACGATTTATTTGACAACTTTGAAGTACTAACTTTGATAAACTAGGCTCCTGTAAATTTTTTGGAGCTTTCTGTCGCCTTGGCCTTCCAGTTTTGCTTGCCGCACTTTCAGAATCACTCGACTGATCCATTCGCAGTCCAGAACTTCGTCTGTAATAACATGAATACATTAGTCATATATTCTGTGTAGATATTAAGAGCAAAAAAGATCTACTTAAACTGTACTTACGCAGAAGAAATAGATTCATTGGAATTCTTTCTTTCACTTTGCTGTGGGCCATGCTGCGAATTGTTTAATTTCTGTAAGACAACCTTTGCTGAACTAGGATCCTTTCTCTTCTCCGTGTCTTTTTCCTTTTTCTTAGGTTGCTTTACTTTTTTCTGTTTTTGAATCTCAGCTTCCTCTTCGACGTCACTCGCTGTGTAATCCAACGGTTTTGTAGCAGCTCGTTTCCTTTTCTAAACACAAATAAACAATAATTTCATTAATCTTGATTCTTTTAATTAAACATACACGTACAAATGAAAACATTTTTGTATTACTTGAGTAATAGGTAGCGAATCGTCGAGTAACTGCGAATGATTGTCGATGGTGGTATCGTGCACATCCGTAAGACGTGGTAAATTAATGTTACCATTTACCTTCGCCGTCGTTAGTTCACTAAATCTTTTTTCATGTCCATTTTTACGTTCAGTCTCTTGACATCTTAATACACTGGTCGACTGCTGATCCGTAATAGGCATTTTCACCGTCGATATGCGAGAGAGTGTTTCAGTTTCAGTAAGCATTGGAAGTCTAAAATTTTAAATATTCAGGAATTAAGTAATGATTTTTTAACAACAATAAAGTGGTAAACGATGAAAAAAATATACCTTTGAGTTAACTGAATGGTAGCAGTAAGCTCCGGCTCGACCTCAACTTGATTTTGTAGTTGTGCCTGCTTAGCCATGATATTTCTTAATGGCTTTAGCGGTGTAAGCTCCAGAAGTTCGTTAATATCAAACGCCATTCTCTCTGATTGTTCAGGCTGTTCAAACTGCTGGGTTGGTGGACGACGCTGTGGTGGAGGTTGTATAGGCCGACGAATATTCAACAGTAATGTGTCTTCGTCGTCAACGTCATCATCATAATAGTCGTCATAGTGGCTCGAGTTACCACGAGTTGATGGGCCACGACGTTGAGTGATGAAACGACGGATATCTTGACAAGTTTGATCATCTTCTTCGTCCTCGTCATCGATCAAGTGATCATTGCTGTAAAAATAAATTCACAGTAATCAGTTTAGATACACTCTTACGACTATAAAAAAAATAAATCACCTTGTCGCGGTATAGCCATTCTGTCCCATGCATCCAAAACCAACTCTCAAGTTTCGTTTGGTTTTGCCCGGGTTTTTGGGCATCTCTGGAATGCGGAAGCAGGTAGATGACCTACGTTCGTTACTAGACAGTGACGAGAGAGGTGACTCTGCTTGCGCTGTAGGTTCTTCACCAGATGATGGTGAACTATTGTTAACACCAGTGAATTCCATGTCTTCTTGACTTGAGTACATCCAGCTGGGTCCTTCCAATGGATCAATCAGTTCAGACTCCATTGTTTGCGATCTGCGGCTTGATGGTTGAACAATCGACGAATGCTTTCGACGGACTATAGTTTCGGAGCCTTCAGTATCATCGTCATCATCATCTGATGTTTCTGCAGATTCTTGAGTTTCTGGAATGATCATTGATGCGTCTAGTGGATTTTCTGGACTCGATTGCGACTCGCTCATTTCTGTGTCTTCGACGGTTGTGATGTTGTTTATTACGTTGGTGTTTGTTGTTTCCGAAAACTGCAGAGAAAAATTCAATCGTATTAATAAATACTTTATATACACCGTTTTTGACGATTGAAATTTATAGGTAGTTACCATTCTAACATTAATACTCTGATTGTTGGCCATGTATCTTGAAACATCCTGCAGAGCAACTCGAGGACTCTTGAGGATCTCGATATGTTCAGAACTGCGTTTCGACAGTCTTGCACCAAGACTACCAGATAAACGACCAGAGTCTCGTTTTGAATATCGACCGGATGACAGCCTTCCACTTGAGAAACGGCTTGTTCGACGATTTACAATTACATGTTCGTCAGAATCTAAAATATTATAAAATTAATGTTAAAAGAAGTTCTGTAAAAAATGTAGAAGTATTCAGAGATAAAAAGTATGTACCTTCATTTCTCAGATCATTTATAGCTAACCTTTCTGGCATTACCCGCGATCGTCGACTTTCCTATAAAAAATAGCAATATAATATCTAAATATCAATATTAGATTGAAAAACTTACAACTACTCGACTGTGATTTCTTTCAGGAGTAGCAGGTCCTTCAGCGATTACACTCAAATTAACTCTACTAAGATTAATCACAGGCTTGGTGATTGTATGACCGCTAACCATAGGTTTTACTACACCTCTTGCAGGTGACTTCATAGATAATCGTTTGGTAGATTCTCTCCTACCAGTACTACTAGAAGAAGCACGATGTGTAGGTAGATTGCAATTGAAGTTTTGGCATTCTGCTATAGTATCTGTGACAAACTTTGACATATCCACTATCATAGGTAACAAATTTTTTGCATTCCTGTATATTATTTTAATAAGATTCTGAAACAAAGTTATTCGATGGTGAAATTTAGATTAATGATAAGTAAACTTAAAGTAAAACTTAAATATCATTATTTTGACTTACGTCACGCTGGTTACAAGCATAGATGAGGTTTTGTTGTTCAGCAATGAGTTCAACATTTCTGCTAAATAATAACTGTGTTTCTTGCTTCTCCTGTGATAAAGCTTTTGCCAAAGCATGATTATTGATTTTTAATTTTTGATATTTAGAATAAACTGGAAAAACAGAATGGTATTATAAATAAGTTAAGCAATTAGTTTACAATGTTATATAATAATACAAACTCACGACTTGAAAAGCTTTTGTTTTTCGTATTGCTCTTGATACACCTTTTGATCAAAACAGTGCCTGGTTTTATCCTCCTCCGCTTAGGTACTTTTGCCATTCTAAAGCTATAAAAAAGTAAAACGATAGGTATTATCATTTAAAGCTGTACTTCACCAAAAACAAATTATAAAATTCGTAAAAAAACTATTTCAAAAGCAATAACGTAAAAAAAAAAACAGCAAAAAAAAGCACTCACTTATAACCTTAAAAGTTAAACTATAGAAGTTAAAGTTAAGTCTATAAAATGACTATCCTCACGATAATCTCAGCTATAAAAACATTATCGCTCATAATAAAAAACTCATTGAATGTCGCAACTTAAAAATCATCCATTACTGTTTTCCATTCAACTCAAACGCGTCAATGGAATTAAGAAAAAGGCTCTCGAAGTGTTTGACAACTCTTTCGAGTTATAAACAACAAACGAACACAAACCAGTTAACAAACAGAGAAACACTTTTTACTATTTTAATTTTCACGTCTTATCAGTTGTGATGAAAAAAATTTCAATGCACTTAATACAACATGAAAAAATTGGAGGCTTCGCGTAAATCCGTTAGAAGCCTTCTTCTGAAAGGAATTGAAACTATTGAAACGAATTCCAGCGACGCCAGTGGGTGCAACTGCAGTTAAAAAAGCATTGCAGCGACATCTAAAAAATAAATAATATATATTGTAATATTGTATTACAGTTAATTTAAATTTCAACAATTTATCATCTTTTAGAATCATTTATAAAAATTAAAAAACAATAAAAAAAATAAAAATAATGCAAAGATCATAAAATTTTTTTAAGCCAAAAAAATACAATAATTAAATAAAATTTAAAGAAAAAATGAAGAAAAGCAGAAATTTTGTAGAAATGTGTGAAAATGTTTACGTACTGTTAAAACAGTATCGTCAAAATGAATGGATCAAATAATTCAAATTTGCACCGACATCTATAGTTGTCAAGTCCACCGCATATATTTTGCGGCGCTGGGTTATATCGATAGCGTTTTTCCTTCTCCTCTCGCCCCTCCTCCGCAAACATAACAGACACCTCGCTCTCCTGCTTTTCATTCGCATGTCAGTTCGTCTGCTATCACCGTGAGCTGTGTATCTTGTATGTGGAAAAAAGAAAAAAAAAAGGAAAAACTTCGCGCGCGTCTCCGTTTCAACAAAGTCTATAGCGTAAATGTTGTGCTGGAGATGAAGCATCTGGCGTCAAAAGCCATTGGCGACGCGTGAGAGAAACAGCAGTGAGTCAATAAAGAGATCATCATTAAGAAGCGCGACGACGTTGACGAGGGTGGAGGCGGCAATGGCCGAGTCTGTCGGCCCGATTCTTCACGTAATCGTCATCGGGTTTCACCACAAGAAAGGATGCCAAGTGAGTGCCCGCTGTGTAGTTTTTTCGTTTATTCTCTCTTTCAATCCACGGGGCGTTGCGCTGTGTATATGTATGCGTCAATACAAGCGATGTACAGACACCTGCTGCGAGTATCTCTTCAATGCTTTTTCTTCTATCCTTTTGAATTATAAAGGATTTTACTAGAGTAATGGATTTTTGCGTGCAAGAAAGAAAGAGAAAGAACATCTGCATGAATGAATGTACTGAAAATTGTAGTCAACCTGCACTGAGTGACTAATACTTGGTCTTTTCTTGATTGCGATTCACGGGAAAACGTTAGTTATTTTGACTTTGATTTATTTTTACTTCTTTATTCTTTTACGAACAAACTCATATGTATTAAAACAATGCTATAATTAGTTATGATTTTTCTTTTATAGATGTGTAGACACAAAAGCTTTTATGTGTACACAATCAATTTTATTTTATGATCTTGTAGAGATTGATAGTAATGATAACATTTAATGTTTCTAGGTGGAGTATTCATTTCCTCCACTTGTGCCTGGTGCATCAAACGAGTGTCCACTAGGGTGGAAGTACTTGCCAACACTCGCATTACCAGATGGATCTCACAACTATGATGAAGACACAGTATACTTCCACGTTCCTAGTCTCAATGATCCTAATAAAACTATTTATGGGATATCGTGTTTTAAACAAATTCCAGTAGAGGTAAGAATAAAATGTTTCATTGAGAGAGAAAAAAAATCACTGTAATGTAGAGACAAAGAAAAACTAGTGATAATTCTGTGTTCGTAATGTCATTACTGTTATCATCAAACTGATTATACTCTTACGATAGTCAAACTAAGTAATTTAATCTTAATTTCTTTGTCTTTTTCCACAGAAATTAATAAATCGCACATCAGACATAACAAGGGGAACAGTACAAAAGTCTGTATGCGTTTTGAGTACAATGCCTTTGTATGGCCATATTCAAGTTAAAATGGCCCTTATAACTCATGCTTACTTTGATGAAGGAGATTTCAGCAAAGTATCACTGTTGGAAGAGACATATCATCATTTGAATTCTTGTATGAGCGGAGATAGTCATATGCCACCACAAGTGTTTATTGGTAATTTATTTTAAAGCACACTTTCAATATTGCAAATACTCAATTTTTAAATGTGATTATTATATTTACAGGTTTATCCGCCAGAGATTTCATATTGCGATTCCGTCACAAAGCTCTGCTACTATTCAAACTGTTACTTCTAGAAAAAAAAGTAGTTTTTTATCAATCACCTGTACAGCCTTTATGCTCAGCCATATTGACATTGTTATCATTCTTTCCTAGTATGATTGAAACTGGTTTAGAGCAAGCAGCTTGTATCAGGTATTTACTTTTTTTACTCTTTTAATCAATCATAGCATATTAATAATTTTTTTATATACAGGCCATCAAGACCCATGTCTCCTATTCCGAATTTCGAGGATAGTGAATATCTCAATAACTTTGACTCAAATTTAACCAACGCGAATCCTGCTGTCGAAACAGTGCAACCAGAAATATTAAATAACAGGATAGCTGATGAATCGGATGACAATGCTTACTACATAAATGACAACAAAACGATTGAAACTATGGAAGGAAAAACTATTGAAGTCGATTTGACTGAAGCGAACAGTGAAAGTGCTGACGTTTTTCCAGAGGAGCCGAAAGTCACCAAAGTGCCGAATTCGCTGAATCTTAATTCCAACGAGGCCGACAATAATATGCCAAGAGACACGAGTAATGATACGTTGTCAGACGCCAAAGTTACCAGCAGTTTGACGCAGATCGCAAATATTGATCCGGACTTGTGCGGCATGCCTTTGAGCCTTTTTACCAAAGTAAGTTACAAAAGTCTGAGCTTATAAAATATTCATTAACACAAGTTTTGGATAATTGATATTTTATGGATTCAATTTTGAATAATTATTATATTTTGCAGGGTTACTTGTGCTTACCATATTTATCCTTACCATATTTAGATTTGCTAGGTGACGAAAATGTTAGAGGCTACGTTGTAGGAGCAACTAATGTTTTATTCAAACAGAAAAAACAACTGATCGATGTATTAATTGAGGTGAGTTTTCTAAAATGTGTACTAACAAACTTCGGATAAAGTGTGAACAACAATATTTGTTTCTTATTAAATATTGTTTATTAATTTTTCTGATAAACGATCATTACCTGATGAAAGATATTTTGTATGTAATAATCATTTATACAGTCATGTTTAATATGTAAACTTTAATTTCTCGATAATTGTTATGTTCCAAACAGAGATTTTATTTTTGTTGCTGAAAAATTACATTACATTGATTATTATAATTTCCTTTTTAGAAGTGAACCTTTCAATAAGCATATTAGCTATATTTAGCAATTGAACACTTGATTTTCAGGCTGAAAGCGCACGAATAGAAGCAAACGATCCAGAACTACGTCGTCAACTGCACTTGACAACCGAAGACTTAAGATTTGCCGATTACGTAGTACGTCACGTATCCGAACCAAAGAAAGATAACTTTTTCGACGGTGTTGGTTGGGAAGGTGGTGACGAGTGGATTCGTACTCAATTCCGCGTTTATTTGCTCTGCTTGCTTCGGACTTCAATGCAACAGGATGCAAGGCAGACTGATCACTATAACGCTGCTTTTATGAGCGCGTGGCGATCTACGAATAATTTTAAGATGTGGACGAGTCTTTGTAATACGGAAATTAACTGCATCGAACCGGGACATCCGTTTGCTGGACAGCTCTCGGTGCAGGACATGAAACTACGCTTGTCGCAGTAAGTATTTTTTGTCTTGTCTTTGTTAAGAAGTTCCGATGATGGGATGTTCTCAACCATTTGTTTTTAGTACAATGCAAAATACCGAAGGTGGACGGAAACTCAACCAAGCCATGGCGTCGACAGGACGCGCTGTGGCTACAACGGGAAAAGCTGTAGGTGAGAAAAAACTTATTAATAATTAGGAATATGATACGCTTTAATTCAATTTTTACTATTGTGTTTTTTATTGAATCGTATAGATTAGAATTTCTATTATTTTTTTAGATTAGAATGTTTATAGCAGTTTTGCAAATTATTTTTCTTAATAACAAAGCGTTTCTATAATTCCTTTTCGAAATACCTCGATTAATAAGTTTTTTAAATATTTTTTTTATAATATTTTTTGTACGTCTACCAATAATCTCAGATCATCAATAACAATTGTGTAAAGTCATTGTAGTCAAAGTTCATGTTCAAATTGTAAACTAATGATATCATTATCGTTATCGCTTATCATGAATCATCAGCTTGTTCATTATAACAATCACTCGAATCCTTGAATCTTGAGATTTACTCGAATGAATAATCTCATTGATTCATAAATTCTCATCATCAAAATCATCTCAAAAGATTAACGTCGTATTCGCAATATGTTCATCTTTTTCCAGGTGGTGCGTTATCTCAAGCAAAAGGTGCATTCTCGAACTGGTGGAGCACGCTGACGACGGTGCAACCAGGTTTAGAAACTAGTGAGACACCGAATAAAAACGGCGAGCCACACGTCACCGACTCGAGTCCACGTGAGAAGTCAGTAGATGGTTTTCAGATGGGCGTCGATGTTGCGAGTACACTCGATAAGTGAAGATCGCTTAAATGACTCGTCTCTGTTTATTTAGTATTATACTATAGCGGGGGCTGTTCTCTATTTTTCGTCTTTATTATTTTTATTTATTTGTTGGGATATTCGAGAAGTTTAATCGGACATATTTCTACGTGGAGCTCTGAATGTATCCTACACGTAGGAGGATAAAAAAAAACGCGGCGTTTTTTTTCAAACCGTTAGAATTTCACTTGTTACGTAAAGTACTTTTGATAGCCGCTTCTCGTTTTATACTTTTTTTTAATTATCCGTTATTTATTTTGTACTTACTCGAAGATCCCTCTGAGATTTAAACCTTAAAGAGTTTTAACATGGCAACGCATGGAAATAATAATTCATCGAAGCCTTCGCTCGATAATCTTTTTGAAAGTACAGGCGACATTATTTCCCAGTGAACAATTACTGCTTGCAAAGAAAAAGAATGTATTTTGTGTACCGCATGTATACATAGCTATATGTACATAACTGCAAATTAACACCTCGTCCGGACAATATTCGATCGCACGCAGTAATTCATTGCCTTTTTTTCATAAAAGCGCACGTGAGTAATCCGTATCATTTATTGCTCTCTGAAATGCTAAACTCGTAAGGAAAATGACGAAGACAAAGGAAATTAAACTCGTTTGTATTCACAGATATAGATTACAATTTTAATGTAACATTTTAAAAAGACTTAAATTTTAATTATTCGTTTCTGCTGTGAAAATTTTATTTTAAACTAACCATTCCTCATTTACGGTATAGATTTTTATATTAAAAATACGAATATAAGTATACAGTGCAATTGAACTTAAAAATGTTTTTTAAGGAAATCAGCTATCATTTCTCACGTGCTTGTTGCGAGATACATCGTTCATTACTTAAAAAAAACAAAGATATAGAAATATGTCGCATGATGTTTTTAATTGCTGAATATTATTGGCAACAATTATGTGATATTTGAATTATTCATAAGTTAATTTTCACTACGTAAATATTAAATTGTGTTAATTTATATTCAATTGTATTTAGTTGTTAAGCGAAAAAAAATATTTTGTACATAAATGAAAACAAATTTAGATTCATTACAGAAAACTATCGTGTATACTAATCAATTGTCCATGGGAATCTCACAATTATACGTACACAGATAAACTGAGTTACATTGAATAAATAATAATAAAAAAAACACGTTATGTAATCATTGAAACAGTACACATTGACGTTATCTCGTGAAGTTTTATCGTAATCTCTGTTGACACTCGGCGGATTTTAACGGATTTTTTAAGAAAAAAATAACGGAAACAATCGAACTTTGCTTAAAAAGAATACGGAATACGACTTTCCCTTTTTTTTACAAAGAGCGTCGTGAGCGTTTTTAATCTGCACAATTTATATGCTTAGCTGCGTCTGTTCTATCGAGAGTTTTTATCGGTGTACAGATGTAATAATGCGAATGGAGAAAAGAAATTTTATTCGAAAAAAACTTTGTATTTATAAGTGAACTTGAACGGGTAAGGCCGAGGACGCTGCGAGTTGATAATTATGAAGTAGAGAGATTAATGTTTTTAGGAAGGGACGTTGTAAAAGCTGACGAGTTTTCGGAAAAATTGTTTCAGAAAAAAAATAAAGCATTTATGAAATGTAAAAAAACGTCTTGATTGTTATTGCCCTTTGTTTTTGTAAACAGCGTAATCCTTCGATGTACATTTGTAAAAGGCTTTACTTTCTTTGTAAAGCGGCATCCTCATTTACATACACGCACATGTGTATGTAAATGTGTCGATTTGTGGTTATTTTACGATGTCAAGGCTGGCTATTTCCAAGTGCGCTGGAGTTCATAAAAGAGTTTGTTATTCTTCATGTGATTTGAATTTATGTTCAAAAAGCTTCTTAGATTTTGCAAATCACTGTCGAAATACTGAAATTGAATTACCTCTAAAATTCAACATTTCCCCGCAAAGAGTTTTCTTTACATTCCTTACATTGGTGAGAAATTAGTCATGGAAAGTTATTCTGCGTAAAAAGCTTATCGCGGATAAGTTTCGTATATATTTCCAAGCGTTATTAATATTCTCAATTTCAACGATACGTCGTAGCAGCGAAATGAATTTACATAAAATCGGATGGTTTGTTTAAATTTGCAATGGTGAGCGAGTACAATAATTTCGCGATATTTCAACCAAGTTGAAGATGCCACCGAGCGGCGTAAAAATAAATAAAAAAAGACTTATCGCGCAAATTGCGATCGATACAGGATAATCTCGCTGTCACTTCAACGCTTCCCGTTTAATTTTACAACAAAAAATAACTCGCTTGCTAAAAATAAACAGGTGGCGTAAAAATCCCAGGTCGATATGCCAAATTCCCTTTATGCACTCGTACCGTGGCCACGGAAAGGAATATGGGGTGCATGACGTCAGCCCAATACATCCATAGGAAGCCCAAGGTCAGCCAGATACGCACTCACACCGACATATCCATTGCGGCTGTATGTATCACTCGAGAGCACGACGCGTCTTGATTTGTCGAGTACAAATCGCCGATGCCAGCAGCGATGATGCGGCTTTGCAAGATGATGACGACGATTGCCGATCTCTCGCCAAGTTGGAACTTTCACGGGTGCGTTTTGTAGGTTGGCCGTGTGATTGCTCGTTTGCTGCAAGGATAAGTTTCGCGTGTACGCCGAGGAATTTTCGCTTTTTTTCCTCTTCGTTGATCCTGCGTATGTGAAATATGAATTTAGAAAGTCGACATTCAGATACGCGCACCATTTGGTCATTTAATCGATGAAAACAAAGCGTAGCTTCGTGTTAATTTTCAATAAAAAAAAATTAGAATAATTATTTCTCTCAATCTGGTGATTAATGAGCCCAGATTCTCTATTGATTAGATATTTATATAACATGACGTTATATAACAGTCATCAATATTTTTCCAACATCATGTACACACAACACGATTGCAAAGCTTTACAAAAGATTTGAAAAATCTTTTTTTAGATTAAAAACCTGACAAAGTAAAGCAGTGTAAATACAACTGACGTTAATGCTATCGGTCAACAGAGTTTTCTAAATATCTCAACGTCGCACATAAACGACGCTCAAATAAATACCATAGCATTACTTTATGAGTCATAACGCGCTTCTTACGGAAGTTTATGAATCTCTCCCTCCCTCTCTTTTACTGGCGACGAGCCCGATAGATTTGTGATTGTAAGAAGCCGCGCCGCGAGCCCTAATGGACTATGTCTTATTTGTTGTCAAACTTAGTGTGCAACACATACTTTTTCTTACTCGGACGCTTGTGTTAGTTTAATGATAGTAAAATGAAATCTAGCGATAAGAGAACTTTTGCGAATGAGTGTGCTTAAAATGAGCAGATTGCGTTGTTTTTTTAAAACCTTTTTTCAAGATTTCTTTAGATTAGTACCGCAAATTTTTGTAAAATTGATTCGTACTCCTCACTTTACGTTACCTTACGCTCGTTAATAACGAGCTTTATAATCAGCTCAATTAGTTTATCTCAACAATGCCTGTTTAACTCGCCAGTATCGAAACAATTTTTTCAAATCTAATATGTAATACGCGTTTACGTAAATGATACTTATTTGTCTCGAAAACAAAATTGCTTAATCAGCCAATTGTCTGATTACGGATCGATGCAGATCAAAATCATCCGTAACAAAACCATTTAGCGATATTCAATTCGAAAATATACCAAAACATAGTTGTAATTAACAAAGATTGAAAAAAGAATGTCCAACAGAATTTTTCTCGCTTCAAATCCAACCGAACGCATCCAAACTCGTTCCTTTCATTGGAAGTGAAATTTCTCAAGAAAAAAATGCACAACAATAAACAAAACTCTGAACCATGTGCAAAGCAACCCGCATAGTCCATGTGAAGTCTAATAAGATCGCTTTGTCTCGGGAAAAAAAAACTGAATTCCAGAAAAACCGCAGATGAACTTACAAGTGCAAGGGATGCGCGTGTTTCACTATCACACTCTTGCGCATACAGATCTGTCGTTGATAGCGTGCGCGCGTGTGTGTGCGAGTGTCGTGTGCGGAAGCAGTAGCCAGCAGCAGCAGCAGCAGCAGCAGCAGCAGCAGCGGCAGCAGCAGCAGCAGCAGCAGCGGCAGCAGCAGCAGCAGCAGCAGCAGAGAGTGAGTGTGGCAGCAGCCTCAGTAGACTGTGACTCGCCGCACAGGTAACATAGTCGGTCTGTCGGTGTGTGTTTGTGTCGGTGTGCAGAGCGAGCCAAGCAGCGAAAATTTCGTGACCCATTTACGCGCCGCGCTTATCGATCCGCAACAACTTCGCTGTTTCTTTTCCCTCTCTCTTTCTCTCTCACTCACTCACTCGCTCTCGCACACATACAGATGATCGGCGTCCATCTTTGTCGTCGTGCTCGTCGTTGCTGCTGCTGCAAGAAGAAGAAGAATACGGATACGTAAATCCGGCGGCGGCCATCTTCCGCCTAATGCGCCTGGCTGCCGATTTTTACGAGTCTTGTCTCTCCCTCTCTCTCTCTCGCCGTTGACTGATTGACGGCCATCATTATATTTGTAGGTACGCAACGTCTCTACACCACAAGTTTTGAAAACGTCATCGATAAACGTCCTGAATGAAAAAGAGAGAAAATTCGTGAATGTCAATTAGCTCCGATCAATTTTTTGTTTACCAATTCTTCGTAAGGATAATCGAGCATTATAAACAAGTAGTCGAGCTTGCACGTATACACAGAGTTACATGTGCCATACATACATACACACTTGCCAACCGTCGAGTGACAAAAAAGAACAACAAACGTCACGCGCGCTTACACACATTCTTCGTCTTATGCGATAATTGAATACCCACGGCAAACTTCAACAAACGACGGCAAGTCGGTAAAGCAGAGCGTTAACTCGCTCGCAGTCGCGCGCCATTGAAATATAAAAAGCCTTTCCCATCAACTAGATCATCTACAAAACGACGAATAGTGTTTACACGCGAGCGTCGAAAAGTGAGCGGTGGCATCGTCGGGGCTTGAAGTGAGTCGGCGACTTCCGTTTCCGAGTTTGCTCTGTGCTGCATAATCTACCACTACTTACAACGATTTTTTTTCGCACTCACGGAGAGCGTCGCGAGTTTGAGGTTAACGCACCACAAGTGTGTATATGTGTGTATATGTGTATTTCTCGCTCTCGCCGATTCAATTTTTTTGTCAGTTTGCACACGTACTTCTTGTGCGCCATACAGTTGGTTAAAGTCGACGTCTATGATTATAACCAGCGCAGCCGGAATCACAAGACTCTCATCTTCTCGTTTCAGCTGAGTGATAACGACACACGCAGTGCGAGAACAGACAAACGGATCAAAGTTACTCAGAGAGGGAGGATAAGAGAGAAGAGCTCAGTCAGCGAATGCCCAACTTGAAGTAGTTTGCCCAGCCTCGGTGCAAGATGTCCAAGCAGTCAGCCAAACTATGCATAAGTGCAGCTGCAACTGGGCTCTTCGATATCATCATGGCAATTGGTGTTTGTGTGGTTTAATCAGGGACCTAGAATTTTGTAATATTGTGACTGTTCGTTGAGTTGTGTGCCAACGAAAAAAGCAGATGGAGTATCGAGGATGACTGACAATTGCTGGAACTCAGGTGGTGGTGAGTACATATTCATGTTGTTTCTATAAGTGATAATGATTTCTCATCAAACAAAGAGAGAGAGAGAAAGTATTTTAGCTATTGACATTTTTCTAAAGACAGTTTTAGCTTGATAAACTTGGGTGGGGAAGTTGTAGTTTTAAAGGAAATAGTTTGTAAAAATAGAATGGACTGATGTGTTCAACATTTAGCCTAAATGTGAATCACTGATAAGCATTGCTTAACAAGAGAAGCATTTTTTAAGAAGAGACCTGGTATGTTTTTACAAAATTAATACCAAAAAATGCCATGTCGTGCATACTTTCATGCAAAGAAAAATAAAATATTGACATACATGGTACATTGTGAATAGAGTATTTTCAATAGAGATAATTTACGTAATTTGTACAGATTTGTTTGCCATATCAGAAGAGTAAAATAATCAATATCCTTCAATTGAATAGCAAGACAATAATTTTTTAACACATAGTCAATGTAAAAATTACTTTAATTTATTACAATCTGGATAAAAGCATTTATGGCCCAGTACAAATCTGTAATTGAACCTCAACTAACCAAAGCATTTTCTGCTGCATTAAAGATTCCACGCACGACATTAATTCGTCTAAAAATGTAACAGCTGTTACAGAAACACTTGATTTCCCTAAGTAATTATCGATTATTTAAACTTTACTGGGCGAGTTGGCAGCAGCGACGCTTTCGAAACAAAAACAAAAAAAAAACGAAAAGAATAAAAGAGGAGAGGAGGTGGAGTACAGTTGCTCGGACGAAATTCTCAGAGGTCGCGCGCATTATTTCCGATCTATTTATAAAAGCAGAGTGTGAGCGAGTGGCTCTCCTACGTGCACACGAGTCAGAGACAAAAAGGATCGACGACGACGACGGCCAACGCCTATGATATCGGTCTGTAATGATCTGTCCAGTCTTGTGGTCTGTCTATTTTTTTAAACTCTCCTCGCTGAAAAAA